ACTTCGGAGTGGGTGTAGGTGATAGGCAAAAAGGGCTCAAAAGCACACTTCACAATATACTAAAGATATAGTTCCAGAAATCCCACATGACAGGTACACTTTCACATCTATTTAACGCCCCCAACTATGCTTATTGCCATGTTACTCATAACCCACCCACCCACCATAGCAAGCTAAACAAGCATCCAACAAACTACAATGAAAAGAAACATGCAATCATACCGCAACAGGCTGAATAGCCATCACAGTAAGCACAGAGTGACCCTTGTCATCCTCCCAAGTGTACGAACCATACTGGAATTCTTCTGAAGCTTCTTTAACTTCGAAAGTCACAGTGTACTTCTGCTTCGCACCTGGAGCAATGGTGAATGAAGACGGTTCAATCGTGTGCTCCACGTTATACATGGATTCCATTTTAACCGTGTAGGTAGACGTTGTCGAAGCAAAGTTGGTTACCACCCTTCTCACAACGCGCGTCCCTTTGAGCCGGGATATGGAGATGCTTGGGCGATTCAGCTTCCGAGGAGCGATGCGCACAAGCTGTGCATTGGGAAACTTAGTCTTCGTAATCTTAAGGCTCTGCCCGGTGAGGAAGTTTCTGTAGTTGGCTGCATTCGCATTGTATGTGAGACCAGGGTCAAGCACATCCTTTGGGGAAACATGCCCTTGACCCATGTGCCATGGCGTAGCATCCTTGTTGTTGGCAGTCTTGATGTTCTTACTCGCAGTATTTTTCCTGGTCGCTGTAGTCATGATGGCAGACATGACCTGCGCAGGGCTCCATGCAGGGTACCTCTGCATAATGAGAGCCGCAATGCCCGCCATGTGAGCCGTGGACATGGAGGTCCCAGTCTGCCGAATGAATGACCCGCTGTCTCCAACTGCAGATGCAGGATATCCAGAGATTATCTTCACCCCAGGGGCAATCACTTCGGGCTTTAAGATGCTGTTGGTAGCGTAAGCACCTCTGGTATCAATGGAAGGGTGGCAAAGGGGGCCCGTGGATGAGATGGCTGCAACCCTAGGGGCGGCATTGGCTGCACCGGTCAGAGTTTGATTGAGAACAACTCCACCGCGCAGAATAGTGCTGCGGGAGAAAAAGGGCAAACAAGAACTAGCATAAGTGGAACGGATCCCCACATGAAAAGCACAAGGGTGTGTTGCAAAGCTGGGCTGCCATTGCAAGCAGAAGAAGTTGCTACCTCATTGCGCTCAATTGGTGCGACTCACCTTGCTCCAACAGTGAGGTAGAAAGGCGAGAAGTTGGAAATGGTCCTGAATTTCGTGTCCGTGTTCCTGAGGGAAGGAGATCCACTGTTGCCCGCAGCTGCTGCTACTGTGACAACCCCCGCGATGTTCGCAAAGAGGTACGGGAGGTCGTCAAAATAAGTCTCCGAGGGATTGGTACCGCCCAATGTAAGCGAGATCACATCCACGCCATCCTTGATTGCTTGGTCTACGGCCGCAAGTACGTCATCCAGAACGGTAGTCAATTTGTTGTTATACATCCACGCCACCTTGTAGATCGCCAGCCTGGCAGTAGGCGCCATGCCGCCCGCCAGGGACACGTCCATGTTGCCGGCCACGACTCTGAGACATACGGAGCGAGCAGACGGATGGGGAGGAAGATAAATGATAAGTTGTTTTAAGATGGCCGTATTAGTCTTGAAGAGTGGTGTCCTGCCAGGGGCTGCGCCGCGGAGAGCCCAGAGACACCGATGAACAAGCACCAGTACTAATACTACTACTACTAGTAGTAGCGGAGAGGGTGACGGCTGGAATGAAGACCACGGAAGCCGAGAGGAGGACAAGTTAGCGGCGCGAAGAGTCAGGAGTAGAAATGACCACGCACCCGGCACACCAGGTGCCGTGTCCATCTGAGTCGCGAGGCGAGTCCCAGTCAGCGGAGAAGTCCGGGTTGCCGTACGCCTTTACGGCTCCCTGGTAAAAGACACGCGCGCCGATGATCTTGTCGTTGCACTTGAATTCTTTTGTCGCGCCGCACATGCCCGACCATCCCGCTGGCCTTGTGGAGTCGAAATCCTGTTGGGGAAGGGCGGCGCGGCCGCGCCATCGCGAAAAAGGACTTGCGAGAAAGCTGCGGGAAAGTTGCAAAAAAGGATACTTTTTGGATACCTTGGTTTTGCAACTTTCCAGTGATGGTCAAATGTTGCAGAGATCGTGGTTGCGGAAAAGTTGCGAAAAAGTTGCATTCCTGCAACTTTCCCGCAACACAACCGCAACTTATCGGACAATCTTTGGACACGTTGCGTATACATTTCAGTCACATGTATGCAGTTTGACCACCTGCCACGTGGCCTGCGTACAGTTTCGACTTCGAAGTGTACGTACGCTGGTACGTACGTGAAGATTTTTTGCCACGTAAACAAAGATATTTGTGCCAGGTGTCATTCTCGATATGTGTACGGCAACTTGCCATGTGGGCCAATCAGACATGACCTTGAAGTGTGCGAAACTTGATTTCTACAAGCCACCATTTTGCCTGAACCGCACAAGCGGAGATTTAGTTTCACTGGCTGATTGTTATTGCTATTTTTTATGTATACATTCGTCTGCAACACAATATTTCTGACATTTGCGTACATACTTCTGAAGTATACACTTTGCAATAACACAGCAGAACAACGAACACAGCTAGACCCAAGTACTTGCACTTGCAATTTGGGACTTTCGAAGACAGATTCACTCACCAGGGGGGAAACCGAGGGTTGGCTGGGTCTCGCGAAAAAAACGAACCTAGACGAAATCGGAAACTCTCGCCAAAGCCCACACCAGAAAAACTCCCTCTGGTCAACTTTTAAAAGCATGAACAATTTGGGCCGCCGGCTTTAAACTATGCAATGATGCGATAAACGTCATGATCTCACCGTGTCATCGAAGGACGGGTGCTCCGGCCAGATGCCGGAGTCAATCATTCCAATGGCAGATGCCGGGTGTGATTGACGGGCCGGTGTCAGAGAGGCCCCATATTCCCGAATCCATGTTTAGGAACTTTGGCGAGTCTGTAGTCATCTTCTGTAAATGGCGGCTCTCAACCACCGACGCCACGGCCGCGTGACGCCGCAGCTTCCGCACCTGCCAGGGCGCCAGCATTGCGCGAAGCCGTTCATCGCGTACTTGTAGCTGACGGGCGGGGCAAGCGGGTGGGGAGAACATATTTGATCGCCTTCAAGTTTAAAATGCGGAAGGAGTTACTGTAATTAGTACTAACAATGTGAGATGGTTTGGATTGCACTCCCCAATCAGGTACATGTAGGTGCATTGGCCACCTGTACGTGAGATCTTTCACGGAAAGCCCCACAGAAGCGGCGACTTGCATCCGCTGATAATCCATCGACTTCGAGTGCGCGCGGATCTGAGGGTTCTTCATCGTCAGCCGTGCGCGCCGGGGAATTCCGCGCCTGATCATGGACCGCGCTTCCGCGGCCACCGTGGCCGGTGTAGCCGTGAGAATGGCTGGTAAGGAGGCGTTGCCGACCCTGTCGTCGTCCTGCCATCCGCCTTGGTAGACCGAAAATCCCCCACGGTAAGCGGCGATGGGAAGAGAGGAGCGAAGATGCACGCAGTAGGGCTTGAGGTTGCCCTGACGCCGCGGCGCAGGTGCTGAAAGATCTTACGCCGCAAGTTAGGGGAGACAGGGTTGCGAACCGGCCAAATATTGATCTCTGTCGACTGTCACACGGTCACACCGTGTGCGCAGCTTAAAGTATCATACGAGTGGAGTCCGACAAAAAATGAATGCGACGGCTCACCTTGGATCTGCGCGTCGCATTGGCCGATGGCGACAGCAAGCAGCACGAGGATGGCGACCATGAGATTGTCGTGTCGGAATGGCTTGAAACGATGCGACACTTGATGCGCCGCCATGGTAATGATCTGGCACGACATGGTAACACACGATAGAATGCGGGATGAGGGTGCACTTGTACAAGCGGGCACTGCTCGGACTTGAGGGAACAATTGCGATGGGGTTGTGCAGACAGAGCACGTGGAAGAGAGGAGTGGATTCTGGATTGATGCTGAATGAAGGGGCTACACAAGTTCTGCACTGTATCAGATTTTTTTTTTCAAGTAGTTTATTTCCAGTCCCGAGTTCGGTTCATATAAATGGTCTGGAAAATTCATGTTGCCAATGTGGAGAATACGAGTATGGGTTATCTAAGCGTGACATTGTTGGTTTCTTCTGTGAAATAGTTTTGGGGCGAAACTGTAAACATGTATGGATGTCGGGTTGAACCCATGTGCGTGCGGCTGCGCCAAACCGCAGCGCAAAAAGCCGAACTAAGAAGGTACGGAACGAGTGAATGGTGCTTCTTCGGAGGCCGGGAAGACATGTGCTGAACCTTGTATGCTGGTTGGGAAAGAGAAAGTTGGGGGAAAATTGCGGCGCCGAAGCTAGCACAGGGTGTACAGTTGGGACCGCGTTGGAGAGACCTGCGGAAACTGCGGGAGTTCCAAGCTTGATAAGGTGGAGTAACGCAGGGTTAGTGTAGCATATATTTATACCGTATGACAGATAGACACACATTTTCTTTTGATTTTAATGCATGAATCGGTCTGGGTTATCTACTCGTGACATCGTTGGTTTCTTCATAGAGATACCTTTTTTTTTTTTGCTTTCTATCTCCTAAGCCTCAGCCTAAGTTACTCTTCTGACACATGGTATGGCTTCTTTATTGTATTCTTCGGTAGTCATTGGACTAATAAAACAAATGGTACTAAGAAAACTAGAAACTCAAGGTACCGTATCTAGAGAAACTTGAACCATAGCCGCTGCCCTCCCCAGCCTGAAATACGACTCCCAGTGACAGAAAAGATTCTTGCACTCAGTATTGATACAGACGACGGGAGCAAGTTCCCCTCCCAAGTGGCAACGGCTGCACACCTGCATTGCTTGCTGCATTCGAGCTTCAAGCGATGCCTCTACACGCTGTTGTGTGATAGCAAATGATAGGCTTCGGGAAGACTGTCCGCATGCTTCACAGAAGGCTTGGGGTGAGTTGAGCCGCAATGGCGCCCTGAAACAGAAGGAACAGGCAGGGTACTTCTAGCATGCTTGCCACACTCAATACCGGTACGAGTTAAATACAAGCCGCATAGTCACCTACAGGCCAGACACACTCCTACCAGGCACGCACCTGCACGCGAGGAGTCACTGCACAAAAGGCACTCACCTGCACACGAGGCACTCACCTGCACACGAGGCACTCACCTGCACACGAGGCACTCACCTGCACACGAGGCATGTTGCCTGCTTCTTGTAAAAAGTCGTCATTGCAGATTGCTGCTGCCCTGCTGCCCTTCCAGGGCCCAGGGTGCCGTGAGGAAAGGAGAACGGTGGAGGAGCGGAGGGTGAGGAGGTGGAGAAGGCAGGAGGCATGGCAGGGCGGTGGGACGAGGGGACAGGTGCGAAGATGGATGCCATGTCCTCTGGCGATAGGAGGTGCTGGAAGATCTGAATCAAGGGGTAGCAGAGTGAGGGTGAGAGGGTGGGGGGAGGGGAGGGGTGAGGGCCTGACTTAAGGATGGTGATGGGTGGATAAGGGAAGAACGAGGAGAGTGGGGATTTGCTCTCAAGATGGACTTCTACAATGCTTGTTGTGAGTCAACTGAAGTAGAAGAAGCAGAAGAAGCAAAAGCAGAAGCAGAGGAGACGAATGAGCGTTGAGAGAGTGGGTGGACGCACGGAGGAGAGTGGCTTCTGCAGCTTGTTGCGTGCGTACACAGCTGCGTTGGGAGGCAGCTGGGAAAGAAGGGCCAACAGAGGCTCCTCTGCCATGTCATCCTGAGAGAGCAGGGTAGCAGCACCGTTGGAGCAGTCTTATTTCAAGAAACAGGGCGAGCGAGAACACACTTTGTCTACACGAGAGAAATATGACTGAAGCTGCTGCAACAGCAAAGATAACATACCTGCAGCCGTATTGAATACCTGCAGCCATGGTAAGTACCTGCAGCCGTGCACCATTGTCAAGAAGAATGTACGGAATTCGCTCTCCGATAAGAAACCGACGGTCAGGATCGCGTGCCTTGAGACGGGCCGCGAGGGCCACATGTGGGCCCCGGCCTTCCTCAGCGGTCGCCGGGCCAGCTCCCTCTCTCCCTGCTCCCCCCCCTGCTGCTGCCTCTGATCGCTGAGGGGAGTCGAGGCCTCTGGATGCTCTACCTGCCGCAGCTGCACTTGCTGCTGCTGTCTGCTCTGCGATGGCGGATAGGTCACTGTCGTTCACTCGCCACAGGCCCTGTATGGGAGCCGAGGCGGGCAGAGGACGGGGCAGGCAGGGGAGGCAAGTCAAGGGGAGAGAAACCGAATGGCATGTGTGGTGCAGCTTTGCTGACGTGATCCAGACCAGAATGGCAGCGTGCAGCATGGCAGGATGGCAGCAGCAGCCCACATAGGCACACGCACACGAATGGAAACACATGCACGAACACACGTATGCACACATCCACTCACACACACATGCATGCACACATGCATGCACACATGCATGCACACATGCATGCACACCCCCCTACCCCTGTCATGATGAGCTCGAACATGCTACATCCGCCTGTCATCAGCCGGACCACGGCCGCCCTCGCCTCTCGTGCAGCCGCCGCCACGTCACCATCCAAAAGGATGCGGCGAATCACGGCGCGACACGTAGCACGTACAAACAGCGGCACGTCCCTGCGGTCCGTCTCAATGCCCTTCACTAGCAGCAGCGACATGTCCTTTTCTTCTTCTTCTTGTGCTGCTGCTGCTGCTGCTGGGGTGCTGCCTTGGTGCTGGTGAGGCGCTGTACGTTGTGCGGGTGGTGCGGGTGGTGGGGGAGATGGCACAGGGAAGACTTGTCGACCTGCATAGCGGTTGACCTGCAAGGAAAGGGGGGGGGGGGAGAGGGGGGATGTGGGGGTTCAATCAATGAGATATGGAAGGGAGAAGGGAGAAGGGAGAAGGGAGAAGGGAGAAGGGGGAAGGGAGAAGGGAGAAGGGAGAAGGGAGAAGGGAGAAGGGAGAAGGGAGAAGGAAGAAGTGAGAAGGAAGAAGGAAGAAGGGAACAGGAATGAGGAGGAACAAAGCAGGGAAGAAGGACCTTAGGGAGAAGAGCTGGGAGAACGAGAAAGGAGGCAGGGACAGAATACACAATAGGAATAGGGGAAACAAGTGGTGTGGTGGCATGGTGGCACCTGGAGAAGCATGAAGGGGCAGAGCACTCGCTCCAGCTTCACAGCCATGGGGGCAGGGAAGAGCTCCGACAGGCGCGCTGCTAGCTCCGCTCCCATTGCTGCCGCCTCCGCTGGGGTTTTCTCTGGGAAGAGAACGAAGATGCTGTCCGTCTGCCCGTATATCACCCTGCATGCCCCGGGAAAGATTTGGGTAGCTGCGTCCTTGGCATGCATGCATGCTGCTGCTCCCAGGCTGGGGGGAGAGGGAGGGAGGGGAGAGGATAGAGAGGGGGGAGAGATTGGAGGGAGGAGAGAGGATGGGGGGAAGGGGAGGATGCTTCAGGTTATTCTTAAGGACAGATGTGAGCAAGGAGGGACGAGGAGAACGCATAGTGCAGGGGGCAATGCAGCTGCAGGGTGAAAAAGGGAGAGATGGAGAGGTGCGAGAGGCAGGCATAAGAGGGGGGGGGGAGAAGAGAGAGAGCACGGGTCAGACTGACTGACTGACCCAAGGCAGGAGTCGGCAACGGCCACGGTGCGCAGAGGAGACGCGTTGGACCCTGTGAACCCGTATAGCGCGTTCGCACACAGCTTCAGCGCCCGCTGCCTGCCATCCAGTGCCGCCCGCTCCTCCGCACTCATTGCCGCCTCTGCCCCCATTGCCCCCGTTGCCACCTGTGCTGTGCGGGGGGCATGCGGCGGTGTGGAGAGGCGGCGCTGCGTGTCCTTGCGTGCAGCGATGAGAGCGGCGCAGATGCGGGGGAGCACACCGCGGTGCAGCGATGCACGCGTGAACGCTGCTCCTGTTGGGCTGATGCCGTGAGAGAGAAGAAAATGAGAGGAGAGCGAGTGAATCCAGTGAGAAAGAAACAGCTACCAGAGTTTGAGCTTTCTTTGACAATACGTGCTGGAGGGGAGATGTGGGGTAGTTAGTTAGCGGGTATGCACCACGTGGGAAGTTTGTGGCCTTAGCTTCAATGCAGCAGCGATAGATATGCAAGCAGCCTGAGCACATGTCAGGGTGCAGCATTCGCCGTGGCCATACCCTACACGCACGACAGGTTATCTGAGGTGCAATGCAATGCAATGCATGTGAGTTGGTCGGTCGGCCCTGACGGAATTGGAACTGAACTGATTGATTAAGAAAGAAGGCACTAGGCCTTAAGTACAAACGAGGTTGGGATGGGCAAGGCTAGGGAAAGGATGGGATGGGAATCCTAGCAAATCTCCAATTGGTGAGTTGGCAGATTTGCAGGATTACGAGGGAATCCCAACCAGATAGGGTTGGGATCACAAACTACACCCAACCCACAAATAACCTACGCGATATAGAATATAGTACACAAAGTGTTGACAGCCTAATTCTAACACACCCCCTAGGCTGCAACACATCAGCCACAAGGAGGCCCAACACCCATGGCCGAGAGGAGGCGGTAATGATCCTCGCGAACAAGCGACTTGGTAAACAAGTCAGCAAGGTTGCAGTCGGAGGCAATGTGTTCAGCCTTCAGCTGCTCGCGCTGCACCAGCTCCCGAAGAAAGTAGTGACGGACTTCAATGTGCTTGGTGCGGCCATGGAAAACGGGGTCTTTGGTGAGATGAATGGTGCTCTCGTTGTCACACCAAAGCGTTGGGGTTGGTTGGGGATACCCCAGTTCTGTTAGCACGAAGGAGAGCCAACAAGCCTCCTGTGCAGCCAACTTACAGCTCTGCCTGGTCGGGGATACAGCTCTGCCTCGCAGGTCGACAGTGAGACGGAGACGACCGAGTGGAGCGCCAACTTACAACCCCACTGCCAAGGGTAAAGCAATACCCTTGGGACGAGCGCCGATCACTCTGGTCATCAGCATAGAATGAGTCACTGTACCCCTCAAGGCGAACCGGGGAAGTGCCGCCAAGTGTGAGCACATAATCCTGTGTGCCTTTGAGATAGCGAAGAACCCGCTTGGCGGCAGACCAGTGGTGGTGAGTGAAGCGACCAGGTGCAACGTAGCGGGACAGTACACTGACTGGATAGGCTAAGTCTGGTCGAGTGCACATCATCGCGTACATGAGGGATCCCACAAGCTCGGGGTAAGGCTCGTCACAGGGCTCAGGTGAGGGAACGGAGGGTGCAGTGAGTTGGTGTTGCAGAGAGAGTGGGGTGGGCATTGATGCTGCTTCCTGCATCTGGAACCTCGTCAGAACGTTGTTGATGTAAAACTTCTGCGAAAGGGTGATGGTGCGGGCTGTGCGATCACGTGTGATTTCCATTCCCAAATAGTTCGTCAGCTTCCCAAGGTCCTTCATGGCCAGCTTCTCACCAAGTGCGGTTTTGACTGCTGCCAGCTCAGTCTGATCCTTGGTGACAAGGATCATGTCATCGACATAAACGAGGATGAAGAACCGGGAGGGTGTTGCTCGGATGAAGAGGCTGGGGTCAGAGGTGGATGGGTGAAAGTCGAGGGACCCTAAGGTGGTCTTTAGCTTGTTGTGCGACTGCTGCATCTGCCTGCTCCCACACACTGAAATCAGTCTCGTACTTGGTGGTCTGAGCGTCAAAAGCGGCCTTCTCTGCGGCAGTGGCGCCTTCGCCAAGGGGATCGGGAGGGAGAGGCATCTTTCCCTTGCCGCGGTTGAGGAGGATGTCCTTAAGGCAAATCCCTTTCAGTTCCGTGCTAAGGAGGTGCTTCTCCACCCCATAGCACCATTCTTCAAAGTTGGTGCTCGTGCCGTTGGGAGCGAGGTTGAGAATGATGAGGTTTCCGACGAGGGTAGAAGTTGAAGTCGCCATTCGCGCGGAGCGCAGCGCTAAAGTCAACGATACGAAGCGGAGAGAAGCGGAGCGGCTGCGCGCAGCGCGGCGATTTTGAAAATTGATGAAGTCTGAAATGCGGAAAGGTGCGATTTTGCCAATAAGATTGCGATTCCTGTTCTGCTTCTCTGCTTCGCCGATGACCCCTTTTCTGCTGCGCCGATGACCTGTTCCGCTGCGCCGCTAAGCTGTGCTGCTGCGCCGCTGAGCCTGCTCTGCTGCGCCGCTGAACCTGCTCTGCTGCGCCGCTGAACCTGCTCTGCTGCGCCGCTGAACCTGCTCTGCTGCGCCGATGAACCTGTTCCGCTGCGCCGCTGGACCTGCTCTGCTGCGCCGCTGACCTGCTCTGCTGCGCCGCTGAACCTGCTCTGCTGCGCCGCTGAACCTGCTCTGCTGCACCGATGAAAACCTGCTGGAAGTTTCGAATGTGAGAAAATTGCCACGGAAATTTGAAATTTCAGAGCTTACGATGAAGGAAATTGACGGAGAAATGTGCCGCCGTGGAAATCGGAAATGCACGTAGACGGAGCGGGAAAGCGCTTTTGACCAGTGCGACGATGTGAAGACGAAAAAATGCTAAGCGAAGAAGGCGTGAACCAAGAACGCCATAGCCGAGAGGAAGAGAATGATCGCGACGCCAAGGATCGGATTCCGCGTGAGCGGAATGTGCTGCTCTGATACCATGACGGAATTGGAACTGAACTGATTGATTAAGAAAGAAGGCACTAGGCCTTAAGTACAAACGAGGTTGGGATGGGCAAGGCTAGGGAAAGGATGGGATGGGAATCCTAGCAAATCTCCAATTGGTGAGTTGGCAGATTTGCAGGATTACGAGGGAATCCCAACCAGATAGGGTTGGGATCAGAAACTACACCCAACCCACAAATAACCTACGCGATATAGAATATAGTACACAAAGTGTTGACAGCCTAATTCTAACAGGCCCCACCCCATGCAGTGTGCACTGGTCTCTGAGGGGCGATGCAAGGCAATGTGTGTCGTCTGCGAACCAGCACCACCCTTGTCATGTCACTGACCTGACAAACACATGCTCCTCCGGAACGCGGTGCCTGTCCCCCGGGTGCACCAGCGACGAGCAGCACAGGTTATACGCCACAAACAGCGACGGGTACAGCGACGCAAAGTCCAGCACGGCCACCGGTTCAGAGCGGTACAGACCGGCCGTGCACGCTTCCTTGGGGTGAAGCAGGAAGGGCGACTGCGTGAGCTGCCCAGAGGGATCAGCACCGCCTAGCAGCCAGCCGTGGGGGCCGGCGGTGCGGAGGAGTAGGCTGTGTACTCGTGCCATTTGTGCCCGGTACTGCACGTCTGATAGCAGTAGCCCTGTGACTCGTGCCATTTCCACTGTCTCGACTAGGGTTCGCTGCGACTGCAGGAGCAGGTGCACCACCTGTGCGGATGGGGAGAGGGGGAAGGGAAGAGGGATTGGTGGGGGAGGGGAGTGCGGAAAGGGGGGATGGGGAAGGGAATGAGAAGGGGAGGGGAGCGGGGAAAGGGGATGGGAAAGTGAATGAGAAGGGGATGGGACGGAGAAAGGGAGAGGGGGAGGGGGGTGTGGGAGAGGGAAGAGGGAGGAGGAACGACAGTGAGAGGACAAAGGTCCACTAAAGACGTGTGAGAAGGCGCCTATGTGTACATGTGCGCACCTTGGCGTACTCAGCAGCGTATCGCAGCAGGCGTGGGCGGCCCCCCAGGCCACCGCCCCACATGGCAGCAATGCACGCCGGCGACAGCAGCTCCAGAGGTCGCCCAACAAACACCTGCCATGGGGGTGATGGCAGGGAACAGTTGACCAAGGCGGCAGGGGGAGGGGGGGGGGGGCCGGGGTTGTGGGTTGGACACAGCCAGCAGCACTTGTTTGCATGAATACGTGCACTTTCACAGGCACAAGCTAGATGGCTCTTGACTTCTGACTGAGTCAACTCAGAAGTCATTGCGTTGCGCCCCTATTTGAGAGATCTAACCACCAAGCACACCTCTCAGCCCCGAGACACACATATCTTCCCATGCTCCCTGCCCCACGCGTGCAGTGCACATGCGCACGCACCTGGCAGCTCTCGTGCAGGGAGAAGGTGGAGAGTGCTTGTGACGTGAGGATGGCTCGTAGCAGGTCCAACATGCACCGCCCCTCCACTCGCACCTGGATGGCGGGGAGGAGAGGGAGGAGGAGGAGAGGGAGGAGGAGGAGGAGGAGGAGGAGGAGGAGGAGGAGGAGGAGGAGGAGGAGGAGGAGGAGGAGGAGGAGGAGGAGGAGGAGGAGGAGGAGGAGGAGGAGGATGATGATGATGATGAGGAGGAGGAGGAGGAGGAGGAGGAGGAGGAGGAGGAGGAGGAGGAGGAGGAGGAGGAGGAGGAGGAGGAGGAGGAGGAGGAGGAGGAGGAGGAGGAGGAGGAGGAGGAGGAGGAGGAGGAGGAGGAGGAGGAGACAAGGAAGCGAACGAACCCAGTATACACAGGCTGGCTTGTGAGGAGGCAACGACGGGAAGAGGATAATAGCATGACGAGTAAGAGAGCTGAATCAACCAATCAAACTGAATCATTCCCCTTCCCCCCCCCTCCCCTCCTCTTCCACTTCTTCCTTCCTTCTTCCCTCCTGCTTCCCCCACCTGGAAGGTCTCCTGGTTGGAGGTAGCGGACATGCGCAGCTGCTGCCGCACCCACTGCTTGCCATACGTCACCACGCCCCGCACCACCAAACCTCGCCCACGCTGCTTCTCATTCTCACCCCCTCTTCCTCCTCCTCCTGGCCCACTGCCCTTGCTTGCTCGCCTCTTGCCTCCTCCTGCACGCCCTCCTTGCCCCTCCTCTTCCGCACGTGCCGTTGCCCTGTGCACTCCCGTCCCCTCCGCCTCCCGCTCCTCCCCAGTCTCTCCCTCCTCCTCTTCTTCCCCATCCCCTCGCCTTCCCACGTCCAGATCCCCCAGTCCCAGTGCCGCCCACCGCTCCTTGAGAACCTGCCAGCTGTCACGAGCCTGGTGGCATGATGACAGGCATGGTGCAGGGCCAGTAGCACAGGACATGCCACGCCGTGCACACAGTATGGCATGGTATGAACATTCCATTCCATGCCATGCCATGCCATGTCATGCCATGCCATGCCATGCCATGCCATGCCATGCCATGCCATGCCATGCCATGCCATGCCATGCCATGCCATTCCATGCCATGCCATGCCATGCCATGCCATGCCATGTCATGCCAGGCCATGCCACGCCATGGACAGCATGCATCCGGTTTGAGGCATGGCAAAATCTCATGTCATCAAACCACCACATCTTATTCAAACTCCAGCACAAGAACCACTTTCTGAGTCCACTCGGAAACCCGCACATGCTTCATGCCTCGCCTGTGGAATACACTCGGAGGCGCCTCAAGGCTCACCTGGAACACCACCACCACATCTGGGGCGAGCCCATTCACAACACAAAGGACTGCTCTCTGAGTTGGCAGGCACAGCACTAAACTAAATAACCAACCCGCGCGTATTCTGTTCTGTGGCTCACCTGGAACACCACCACCACATCGGGGTCGAGCTCGAACACAAAGAACCGCCGCCACTGCTTCAACATCTCCCTCTCGCTCCTATACACCCGCACCTCCTCCCTTCCTCCCAGCACCTGCTCCCTCTCCCTCTCCTGCCTCCTCTCTCGCACCCTCTCCTGTTCGCGCTGCAGCCCCCAACCATACATCTCACTGCTCATGAACCCCACGCCCTCATACCCCTCCCTGCACCACTCCGCCTCTGTGCCCTCTGGTTCCCTTGCAGCATAGATTCCCTCACACCCCTCACTTGCAGCAGCGTTTCTACCATCAACAGCGCCACCAGCAGCGCCACTAACAGTAGAATGGGTGAAAAGCAACACCCCATGCTCAAACCCTCGTTCTCTGTCTTCAGAACAGCCCTGCTCCTTCTTTCCACCCTCAGCTTTCTCTCCACGTTCCCTTTCTTCCCCACCCTCCCCTCCTCCACCCATCCCCTCCACCTTCCCTATTCTAGCCCCTTTCCCTTTCCCTTTCCCTTCCAACCACCTTGTGCCACTAATGACGTGCGCTATAGCGAGGATGGGATCCCGACTAGCCTGAGTGGTACCCCCTCCAAGCATGAGCCCTAGCGACTCAATGTCCCCAGGGGAGGGGGCAGGGGGAGCAGGCAGGGGGGAGGGGAGGGGAGAGCGGTGGGGAGGCGGAAGGGGGGACTTCCCAAGGGAAGTCGAGCAGAGGGAAGAAGGGAGGGGGGAATGGAGGGGGGGACAAGAAGCAGATGGGGTGGTTTGCGAGGTGGCGGGTGGGTAACTAGAGGTAGTCAGTGGGGTGTCATATGAAGGGGGGGTGGAGCGGACATGACTAGTGTCGCCACTGCTTCCACTCTGCTCCTTCCCCTCCCCTTGTCGCAGCCCAAACCACCAGTGAACAGGCCTCGCCGCCGCTTCTGCTCTCTCTGTTCCTCCACCTCTCCCTCTCCCTCCTGACGCAGGGCTCATCCTCCCTCCTACACCTCCTCTTCCTCCGTCGCTTCCTCTCCCCCCTCTCCTATTCCCCTTCCCCTTCCCTTTACCCTTCCCCTTGCCGTTCCCCTGCCCCTTCCCTCCGCCTGAACCATGCTTTCCCCCGCTCTCCTTACCCCCACTGCTCACACCCCCCCTACCTCCGAGTCTCATTGAACCCCCACCAGCTCTCCCCCTCGCACTTGCAGTAGCACCACCAGCATGCGGCCGCCACCACACATTCGCACCTGCACCTTGCGACCCTGTGCCAACACCCTCTGCCTTTGTCCCTGCTGGAGGCGACTCAGAACTCATCCCTGCCTCGTCCGTGTTGCTACCTTCCCCGGCACTCGCACCAAACAAGCCACGCGCTGTTGCTGACTTCTCCAGCCTCTCCTCACTCCCCTCACCCCTTGTCTCACCCGCCCCACCTCCCTCCTCTCTCCCTGCCAATGCTACCTCTACAACCGTTTCCCTCCTTCTTTTCACCTGCAATACTCCCTCATCCCCATCTCCCCCTCGCCTCTCTTCCCCCAACTCCCTTCCCCGTTTCACCCGGCTCTCTCCACCCCTCCCTAACCCACTCCCAGCACCAAATCTCCCCACCCCTCCTCTCCTACCATTCTCCCCCTTACGCCCACCCACATCCCCCCCTGCGGCCCCAGCAGCCACCCTACCCCCAGCACCGGTCACCACATGCATGCACAGCACCACCATTGGCGCCAGCTGCAGCACCGACCTATCAGCCAGTCCTCCCATTCCCCCAACTCCCCCCGTGCTACCACCTGCAGTGGTTGCAGGACAAAACTCTCCCTCCCTAGCATCCCGTGTTGCAGCAGCCTTGACCGCACACCCAGCGCTCTCCTTCCCAGTGCGGAGCTGCTCGGCTTGAGAAGGAGTGTCAGGGGGAAGTTGGGAGTGTGGTGGGGTGGGGTGAGGTGCTTGGAACGTATGGGTGTCTGAGGTGTGAGGGTTGTGGGGCGGGGGGAGGGCAGGGGCCACGGAAGGAGACAGAGGAGCTGTTAGGTTGTGCTTTGGTGGCGCAGCAACGTCGGTTTGTGCGACAGCATCGGTGTCAATGCTGTTGGTGCTGTCGGTGCTGTTGCTCCTGTTGAGCTTGCTTTCTTGAGCTGCCACGGATGCTGCTGCTTCTGCTGGTGCTGTTGTTGTTGGTGCTGCGACCACTGGTGCTGGTGACAGTGGCGCTACTGAGATCCCACCCCCCTGGGTGGCGTCTGGGGAGCCGAGAGTGGAGAGGACATTAGGGGAGAGGGACTGTAAGGAGCGCCATGAGGACACACACTCAACCGCACAGCGAGACACACGGGCAAGGGGTGGGAGTACGGACAAGGGACTGTTGCCAGCAGGTGCACATGTGGTACTGCTGTCTGCAAAGGGGTGCTGTGCGGTGTTGGTCCCACCGAGCCGAGCGGTCATGTCCACACCGCAGTGAGGGCAGTGAGCGAGAGGCGGCAGGCGGCTGGGAAGTGCAGTAGCAGTACTGCCGTGTTGGTAACTGGCAGGCGGATGTGAATCTGCTGTGGGCAGCGGCACACTCGACAGTGCTGATTGGGGTGGAGCGGGTGAGATGTAGAGCAGTGGGGGAGGAGCTGGTGCTGGTGCTGGTGCTGCAGCAGAGGCGCGAAGAGGCAGTATGTGCGGTGCGTGCAGCACACACCATGCCCCCCCGGCTAGAGAGGTCTCTGCGAGGAACCGCATGGGCAGCTGGTCGGGGCGAGAGAGAGGAAGAAAGCAGCAGCGGGGTGGCGAGAGATGAGAAACGTGGGGTGCACGGTGAGAGGAAGTGGGAGTCGACTGGAGAAGAGCAGAAGGGCGGTGCACGTGGCGAGCAGAGCACCAAGTGCTGCATGAGATAGTAGGCGCACAGCACATGCAGGAGTCCCGGTGCATGCAGCAGAGGAAACAAGTGCACTGCCCATTTACTGTTGACGGTGCCACTGTGCCACCCACCCACACCCTCTCACCTTGATGTTATCCTCCATTGGTTCACTGCCACGTGGCCATTGCAGACCCTCAGACGCCATGAGGCCCTTCTCTGCTGCCTCCACCAGTGCCTTTGCAACAGCTGGCATGGCTCGCGCATGGTACACGTACACCTGGCATGCCACGTGTAGGGTAGGAAGGGAATTGAGGGTTGCTTGCGAATGGAACGCGTGTGAAAGAGAGTGACAATAGGTGGATGCAAGTATGAAGCATGTGAAAGAGTGTCACCTTAAGGTAGCGTGAGGGGCCGTCAGGACGGTAGTAGACGATGGGGGTGCGGAGCTCCATAGCCATGTGCGCCACCTGGTGGTGGGTGGATAGGTATGTAGATAGGTAGGCATGCATGCAGAGGATGTGAGCAGTGGATGATGGGTGGGTGGCTGGGTGGGCGTGGCTGATAGGACGATTGGAGCATGTGAGGTACAAGGAGTGTGGAGCAGGGCAGGCTGAGGCACAGAGCATGGCAGGGAACATGTGCACTTGCATGTTGCATATACTGTGAATGCCTCTTGAGGCGACTAAAAAGCCAGAACATGCACAAGTGCATGATGCGCCATGAAATGCTTGTGCCAGTGAAACAGCTAGTGCTGACGCTTGTCACACCATTGGCGCTGCCGTTGGTTTGGTTGGTAGCTCGAGTTAGCAGGTGGTAAGGAGAAAGGCACTGACCGGTTCGCCCTTGATGTGGTTCTGCCCCTTGCTCCGTGCTCTGCCTGCCAACCCCTGCACATACGCATTCACCCATCGCTTCACCCGCTCACACACCCCTTGCACATCCTCTTCCCTCTTCCCGCCACCCTCCCCTCCATCTTGACCTCCTCCTCCTTGTCCTCCTCCTCCTTGTCCTCCTCCACTCACTCCCTGCTGTTCCGCATCCCCCAACCCCTCAACCCCCGACAGCATTCCTGTCTGGCATGCCCCACTTGTCCTGCCAGTAACCACCGCCTCTTCTTGCATGGCCGCAGCAAGAGCACCTTCGCTATAATCACTGTCACCCTCGCTATAATCACCCTCCTCCTCCTCCTCCTCCTCCGCGCCACCAACAGCAAGGGCATCCTCATCATCCTCAGCCCCATCACTCTCTTCCCAGCTCTCTCCCGCCTCCCCTCCTTTGCTGCTTCCCACTGTGCCAGAGAGGGCAGCAACAGCAGCATAAGCGGAACTGGCAGCAACGGGGCTGGGAGGCCGAGCAGCAGAAGGGGCAGTATCTGTGGTTGGGGCAGCTGGTGTGGCTGATGGTGTGTGGGGAGCAGTGGCTGTGGTGTAAGTGGCTGTTGGTTGCGGTTGCAGCAGCGAGGGGTACGGGAACCAGAAGAAAGGGAGAAAGTCTGCAGCGTTTACGGGGCACAGGGAGGAGGGAGTGGGAGGAAGGAGAAAAGAGAGAACTTTTGCACAGCACGTGCATGCCTGTAGCAGACCTTTACTTGCTAGCAAGTTTTATCACACTAACGCACGCACACAACAACCACAATCACAAGCCACAAACACCACCACCACTACCACTGCAGCTATGCTCATCTAGTCAGGCACACTCAAAGTTCACGCTGTGGGGTGGAGGGGAGAGGAGAGGGGCAGAAGCGCCCATAGGTAGCAGCACGGGCAGTGCATGAGATGAGCAGAGAGCGACGTTGCTTCTGGGCTCGATGAGACCTACCGGGGACGCGGCAGCACAGCGAGGCTCCGTCCTGGGTCACGCCATAAAGCACGACCTGTAAAGAAGCAGATACAGGGGTAGAAGAGGAAGAGAGGGCGAGGTTGCACCTTGCGGGTGTATGTGCGGAAGGGCGGGAGGGCGGCATGGGAGGGACGGGCGGATGAGGAGGCGAGGGAAGTCATGGGAACGAGAGGAGGCAGGCATGGTGGCTCGGTGGCATGGTGGCATGGGATGGGAGGGTGGGGCACCTGGTTGGGAGTGAGTGCGCGATCGACATCGTCCACCACCAGGTCCAATAGCATCATTCGCCTGCACGCTGCTGCTCTTGACGCCGCTGCCGCCGCCGCTGCTGCTGTCGCTGTTGGTACTGGTGCTGCACCCGTGGTGGCCATGGTAAGCAAAATCCGCGGGCGCCACTTTTGAGAAATCTTAAAAGTGCCTCTTAACCGCGCGTTCGAGCTTCCGCACTGAGCTTTCGCGCGCTGCCGCGCTGCGCCTTGCCTGTCGGAACCGTCGCGGGGTGCCGCTTCTTATAAAGTTGCGCGGATGCTTCAACCGCCAACACGCGCAATGCCACGACGCGCACTAATAACCGTCGAGAATCCCCGGAAGAAACAAGGCTGCCATGTGCCGCCGTCCGACGCACCCCGCTGGCGCCGCTCACTCCTGAAGCCAGCCTCGTCTGCCACAGCGTTCCCACTACTCCGCGTCGTCGACGAATAGCGCGCGAGTGTAATTGTCGAGCGAACAAGCGCGGGGTTAATTGACGGCACGCGTGCCGGAGAGGATGCTCGCTGCGGAAGCGCGCGGAGCTTATAGGTGAGGAAGAGGCTTGTGACGCCATGCTCTCCGAATTCGCGGAGAGCAGGACTTGTAAGGGGAGGCTGGAATGCCGTCACTGTCACTTCAGTTTGCGCCATGCATGATGCCCAGAACACATTTGAGCCCCGAACTCACTACCGTACTAGCACTCTTGAAAAAGAGTTTGCACAGTAACAAGCATACGATAAACAAATGATGGACCCGCTCTGTTCTTCTCTCGCATCCTTTCGCTGCGTAAGGATCATTTTGCTTTCTTCTCCCTTTGATTTGATAGCCAAAAAAACAGAGTATCAAATCAACCCCTTTAACAAGCCTTTCGTTGATTTATGTGCCACCGTTTGTGCTGTAAAATCTGGGGTGGAGTGAAGAGAAGCGTCTTGCCATCGCACTCACTGCACTCATACTGTCGCCGACCCACAGCAGCCTTCCCATCCCCACCGTCGCCCTCACTAACTGCTTTCTCCAGCACTTCGCCTGCTATCATTAGCTCATCCAACCTTTCTCCACCACCCTCCACCGTCCCAGCAGCAGCAGCAGCAGCAGCCGTCGCCGCCGCCGCAGCAGCAGCAGCAGCAGCAGCCGTCGCCGCCGCCGCCGCAGCAGCAGCAGCAGCAGCAGAAGTAACGGTGGTGCCAGGCTGATGCTGGGGTTGGCGGGGCAGGTTGCCACATGCGCGAAGGTGGTCCACGGTTTCAGGCAGAGTGAGGATGAGCTTGTAGCAGCACAGCGGGCACTGCCAGTGGCTGCGCATGTGCAGCGACGCCTGTGTGGCAACGTTTGTCTCATGCGACGGGATTGACCCGATGCGCAGGAATGGCGTCACAAGAACGCCACCCTTGATGATTGGCTTCCCACTGACCGGGAGGAAGCAGGGCACACATGAGCGCAAGGGAGAGACATGGGCCGGAGAATTTAAAAAGGGAGAGGTTTGCCCCGGGGGGGGGGGGGGGGGGGGGGGGTTGCGGGACGGAGATTGGGGGAAGTGGGCGAGTGGGACAGTGGTGAGGGCATGCAGGCGAGAGATGCATGTGGCTTGACGGTTGAGACTCCCCAAGGCATCCCAGGGTTTCCCAAGTTCTCCAGGGTTTCCATGGTTGTCTAGTAAGCTGTGCTGGCACGAGATTGTCACTAGTATAGGCAAAAAAGTCGCAGCAAGGGTACAAGAAGGGCAACGAGAGGGAGGAGGGAGGAACGGCACATGGATAGTGGACAGCACCCCACCTCTTGGACGCCTCTGCTGCCCGCAGTGCTGCCTCTGCCTCCTCCACCAGTGCTGCTGCCGTCGCCACAGCTGCACTCCCTCCTGCGCCTTGCACTGAGCCCAGGCCCACCGATGCATTCTCTGCAACGCCTGAGTGTGCCTTCCCACTGCTGCTCCGCTGGCCTTCCCTGGTCTTGGTTGACCCAAAACCAGCACCAGCAACGTTATGTGTGCAGTCATGTGTCCCACTGTTGCCTGGTGCTGCTGCGGCGGCAGCATGGGAGAGCAGGGCAGCGGCGGCCATGGGAGTGAGCTGGCGGCAGGAGAAGGGCACAGGGGACTGCAGGAAGGTGGCAATGCGATCTGCCGGAACAATTCCAGAGGGGGAGAGGGCGTGAAGAGCGGGAAAAGCAAGGGTTATAAGTGGAAAAGGGCAGTGAGCACAGTGGGCCAACTTCCTATGCTCCTGTCTCGCCTCTCATCTCCCATCTCACCTCTCTCCTCCATCCTCCCTCTTCTCTCCCCTCTCACATCCACCCACTTTCTCACTCCATACCCATTCCAACACTCACCCCCCCTTTCCCACCCATCTCCATCCAGTCCTACCTGCAAGTTCCTTGACCTGCGTATCCGCACCCCCCTCCTCCTCTTCCCCCTCCGTCCTCTCCTCCTCCTCCTCCATCCCTTGCCGTTCCTCCCCGGCACCCTGGCAGCCAGCGGTCCACTCACAGAGCGCCTGAATGAACGCCCGTGCATCATCAACAAGGGCATCTTGGTTGAATTCAGCTGTTCGTTGTCTCCGCACTCCCACTGGCGCCTGGGTGCGCGCTTCGAGTGCTGTGTGGCTGAAATTTTGAGATTTACTGGTGTGGCCCTGATACTGCGTCTGCTGCTGCTGCTGCTGCTGCTGTTGCACGGTGTGAGGGCGCAACGCTGAGAGGCGCTGGTGGAGGAGGGACGAGATGTCCTGACGGATGGTCACTGCTGTCTGCAGGATGCACACACACACGCATGCACATGCACACACAGGCACACACATATAGACACACACATGTACACACACACATACCCAAACACACAAGAGGGCGGGCTAAGCCGCACAGTCAGTTGCACTGCCAGAGGAACACAACAGGGAGACACAAAACGCCCAAAACCCTTTGAGATAACTGTTGATTGCCTCAGAGAGCCCTGGCACTCACCACGAGCAGTCTGCGAGCTTCGTCCATGGGGAGTGGTGTGAGGCGCACTAGCAGCCAGTCGTCAAAGAGAATTCGCGTGCCGTCAGACGAGGCGTCGATGGAGAGAGACGTGAGCAGCAGCGCTGGCAGCGATGGTATGCGCATCTGGGGGGGGTGAGAGTGTGGACACATGGACGCATGGACACGTGACCTTGGCAGTTCCAAAAAGCAGGCAAGAACGAGGGACAGAGAGAACGAGAGTACCAAGAACCATACTAATGAAAAGGCTGACTAGAGAGAGGGAGCATGCGGAGTGGTGTGGCGGCATGACAGATGCACTGACCAGATTGGAGAGATAGAGCTTGGTGGTTTCCAAGAGAGTGCCATACACCAGTAGCTCGCTCTGACATTGGGCATGGTGGGGAGGGAGGTTGGCAGGAAATGTGGACATGATAAGACAGAAGGAGAGGGCTGCATTAGACAGCTGAAGGAAGAGGAGGATGGGGGGACGATAAAACAAAACGGCGCATAGGTCCGAGAGGCGCGTACGATGGTAACAGGATGCAGTGCACTGGTATTCGCCGTCACATAACCAGTGCACAGTGACGGCATGAGTTAACCATTGGACTACGTGAAGAAAGCACGAATTTATCACGGTGAAGGGAGTGTGAGCTCACCGCGGTGATGGGCGCATCTGAGCCGCACAGGCTGCTGCACGGGTGGATGCACGCGCTGCTGACGTGGCGCGTGTGGAAGAATTGGTCACTCTCTCGCCGCATGCCGTTGTGCGCATCCGCGATGGCTATGTTGGGGTACAGAGCGGCACCTGTGTGACGAGAGGGCGAGAAGGACATGATAATACATTCACATGCACCACAGTTTTGATATGAAACAGGCCACAGAGCGGTGCTGAGCCTGGATGAAAGACCCTGAACGGAGGATAGAGACTAACAGACAGCGAATGTTGACTCGTCTGAGAGTGGGAAAAGTCAGTTGTTGGGGACTGAGTGTGGCACAAGGGGTTTGCAGCACAACTAGAGGAAACGCAGAAGAAAGACAAGAAGAGCAGTCACGAGCATTGCAGTCACGACAAAGATAAGAACATGCAGGGCTATCAATGACAAGAGCATTGCGAGAGGGAAAAACATAGGGGGTGGGGAAGCGGGAAGGGTGGGGGGGGAGGCGTGGTGGAGGTGTGAATAAAGCGTGTGCCTTACACACAATGAACTTGATGAGGTGAATGTCGCCACGTGTCAGCTCCTTATTGGCCAGTGATGCCACGCGGTCCATATCCACTGACAGCCTCAACTCCAGCCCCTCCAGATCCTCCTCCCCCATGCCTCCGTATCCCTCATCCACCCCCTCTTGCTGCCCCCCTCCCCCTGCATCCCCCCCTGCGATCTCCTCCTCACCACTCCCCCCTCCTTCATCATCGTCCTCCTCCTCGTGGTTGCTGTGTACCCTCAGGCGCAGCTGCTTCTGGCCCCTCTCCCTCGCCTGCCGCATGCGCTGCAGGAGCAACAGGCACAGGCAAGGCAGGTGGACAGTGAAGGCAGGATGCAAGCACTTGCCTGGTATGCTACAACCGGCCAGGCCACCACCGGCCATGCTGCAAATGGCCATGCTATGCTGCCACCTGCCATGCTACACCCGCGCCATGCAATGAAAGAACATGTAATGCGGCAAAACGAACCTGAACTTGCATCAGCTGCTGCCGCCGCTCGTCCCAATCCCATCTGCTGTGCCTCGCTCCCCTCCTGTCACCCCCCAGGCCGCCCTCACCCGACTCACTCCCTTCTCTGTCCCACCGACCACGCTTCCTCCCCTGCTGCATTTGCTGACGCCTCTGTGCTGCTCCAGCAGTAAGAGATGGGAGAGATGAGAAAAGCACACACGAATTCCTGTTGAGGCAAGTCAAAATCCACGCCTCTCTGATCCTCTCTAAGTGTGGTGCAAGTGGGAATAACCAATGGGCATGTGATTGCAGGTGATGCGTCTCATCAGCGGCCCCGACTGTCCATCTGGCCTTCAATACAAAAGCGCGCACCTGTGGATCGCAGGAGGCGAGTGGAGAGCAGAATGTGTGTGAACTGGCGGTGCAGCTTTGCCATCTCCATCAGCCGCTGCGGCTCCACCCCGTGCCGCTTGCACCACCTGCCCATGTCCAAGGTGAGAGGTGTGGAGGTGAGAGTCGTGGGGGTGAGAGGCATAATATACCACAACATCCATACACTTCATACATGCGGTCGGATTTGATGCACCTGCAGACTGCTCTTTCACGTCACCAATCCCCAACACTACAACCCACGTTCCTCTGCCCGTATGCGCCAGAACACAAGATCCTCACCGGTGCGCTGCTCTGCTGGACTCCTTCTGCACCTTGCTCCACTCGCCAAACACGGCCATGAGCGTGAAGGCATCACCGTCCCCGCTGCGCAGCTGGTGCTGTGCGGTGCGGATCTTCTCCCCCTGCTCGCCCTCGGGCACGCGCACAAAGGGCGATGGCACTGCCAACGCTGCTGCGAGGAGCGCTATGAGGGGTGCTATGGGGGGGAAGAGTGAGCCCAGTACCTGGTGGGGTGTGGTGTGGGGATGCCAAGGGGGTGGGCGGAGGGAAGGAGGGACGGAAGGGGAGGGAAAGAAAGGGAAGACAGGAAAGCAGTGAGATAGAGCAGAGGTGTTCAGTCACCTCGAAAGGGGTGGGAGCAACAGAGTATTCTTGCACAGAATGCGTTACAAGGAGCAACGGAGTATTCTTGCACAGAATGCGTTACAAGGAGCAACGGACGGAAGGCATGCAGGGGCAGCAGCAAGGGGGGCGGCGGCTGGCAGCACGAGGCATGCATGCAGTGAATGTTAAGAGATGCATAAAGCCGGGATGAGAACAAGCTAGGAGAAGAGCGTGAAAGAGAAGAGAGCGCAGCACAGCAGCAGAGAGGCAGAAAGACAGGCACACACACCAGCATCTTGCCGAGTGGTATGTCCACGGGCAGCCCAGCCAGCACATGTCCCAGAGGCGTCACCACCAACTCATCATCACCACCACTACCGCCACCACCATTGCCGTCACCAGCAACACTGCCATTATCTCCCCCGCTTCGCAGACCTGCACCCCTCTTATCCTCCTCTCCTGCCCATCCGCCTCCAGCTTCTGGTTCCTGCGGTGCTCCTGTGGTGGTGAGTGGTGGTGCTGCTGCCGGGGGGGCGAGTGCCCCGTGGTGCGTGAGAGAGAGCACGGCTCGATGGAGGGCGGATGGGGACGGGGCGTCTAGGAAGCCGAAGTGAGAGAGAGAGCAGGCTGGAGAGAGCATCTGCAATGCGGTGGATGGAGAGGGGAGAGGGATGAGGGGAGGAAACGGAGGGCGAGTGATTGGGGAACGGGGAATGGTGGCATGATAGAGGGCAGGGAAGAAGGGAGCAGAAAAGGAAAAGCAGATTTTGGGAGTCAAAAGAGTGCTAAATGGAGGACCAAGATTGAAGGGTAGACGGGGATTGAATTGACAAAATAGGAAAGGTGGATTTGGCATGACATGGCACATGGGAAGGAGGTAGGGATATCATGTAAGTCCACGGCAGACGGACCTTCATCTGCAGCACAACCGACTCTAAAGGCACTCGGAGGAGCTCCGGTATGGAGAACTGCCGGAACTGCACACGCACAATTGTGCACATTCACACATGCAAATTTCAGGATTGCTACCACACAAGGAGGATGGGGTGCAGTGCAGTGCAGTGCAATGCAACGGCTGGCGGCTCGGCGGCACAACCAGTTTCCCGGTTTCCCGGTTTCTTTCTTGGTTTCCCAGTTTATTTCTTGGTCTCCCGGCCTCCCGGTCTCCCAGTTTCCCAGCATGGCTGGCGGCATGGCTGGCGGCCCGGCGGCCTTGCAGGATTCAAACCTGAGACCTTACTACAGAAAAATCCCTACTAGCTGGGCTACATGATCATGATGCCATTTTCCACATGATATGATCACAGTAGCACCGTGGGTGGTGTGTGCGTGCATGTGCTGTCTCACTCACTGCATTGAACTGTTCTCTCGAGTAAAGCCGGAAGCAATGACCCGGACCCGTTCGCCCCGCCCTGCCTGCTCTCTGTGCGGCTGATGCCTTGACTTGACACGCCCAAGTGGGGAGATGTGGAAAGATAAGGCACAGTTAGGCAACGAAACTAGCGGTTGCCCACGGCAAACCTGAAAGCTGAGAAAGGAAACCACAGACGTGCATATATCCACCATGGGCAACCTGGCATGTGCATACATCCGAGAGAGGAGAGCAAAGCAAGGCACACCTGGCTGACCCACTGCTCCTGCAGCGTGCTGCCTGCGATCTCTGCGAGGTGCGTGACGGCCTTCTCCTTGCCGCTGTCCACCACAAAGCGCACCCCGTCTATCGTCACACTCGTCTCCGCTATGTTGGTTGATAGGATGCACTTGCGCACACCCGCAGGGGCCACTGCAAACACCTTGTCCTGTTCATGGGGCATGCCGGTTTGTGCATGGACACACATACAACACAGGAGGGGAGTGCGGCAGCACCGTGCAGGGCAGCGGCAGAGTGACAGTTAGCAGCAGTGAAGCAGCAGGGAAGAGGCAACAGGAGGGTCTCTTCTGTACATTGGTTGGGAGAACAGCCAGAACGGTTGGCATGTTATGTCTGAGCAGTCAGTACTAAGAGTCACGGAACAAGCCAATGTTTGAAAAACAGACGAACCTGCTCTTTGGAGGAGAGGGAGGAGTGCAGGAGCAGCACAAGCCATCTCTTGGATTCCTGTGCGTACTGCTGTACTGCCGCTGCCACTGCTGATATCTCCTGAATGCCTGCACGCAAAAGGGAGAAAGAGGTAAAGAACCTAGAAAGAGGGAGAGTGCGGGAAGTGAGGGAGAGGGGGAGCGTAAGAGAGAGCTGGAAAGACATTGCATTGCACCTTGAATGCTCAGAGAGGCAGGAACACCAAGATGGGAATAGGAATAGGGAGGATAGGAATGCTGCCAAATGCTTGCAGAAAAGGAAGCGTTACACCAATGGTGCAATGCATTACAGAAAGCAAAGCCATGCACCAGAGAGAGCACGAGAGAACTCTACCTGAGAGGAAGACCAGCAGGTCGCCCCTCTGGTCTGCGGGGAACTGCTGATCTATGCGCTCCAGCACACGCACATACGCCGCACTGCCCACCCGCCCTTCTCTCCCCACCCGCCCTGCACCTCCTCCCCCTCCCGCTCTCCTCAGACCCACCCCAGCCACAGTACCACCAGCAGTTGCATTGACAGCGTCGGGAGCGGCAGTGGGGTTGCAGTTGGTGGTGGAGGTGTGAGCAGTGGCGGGCGGAGGAACAGCCAGGCCCGTCTCGCCTGCTGGTTGAGGCAAATGCTCTATGGTGATGGGGTAGGTGCGACCAGGGACCTGGTACATGGGGAAAGGCCGGGCAGCCACGGTGGTGACAGTGTTGCAGGTTAGCAAACGAGCAGAAGAGCAGGAGAGCAGGAGAGCAGGCAAAGAGAGGAGCGAACAGGGGCGAAGGCCTTCTCGGCACAGGGCTGATGTGCAGTGCAGCGCACCGTGACAATGGGGGCGTTGTGGAAGTAGGCGGAGTAGGTGTGCACGTTGATGGTGGCACTCATTAGAATGACCCTCAGGTCCATGCGCTGCTGCACCACCTGGTGGCCGCCGGCACAGCACAGCACGGAACATGAGACATGTGAAGGCAGCAGAACAGCCGTGCACAAGGAATGCAGGGAGGGAAGGTATAACAAGGCACAGAACACGAGGTACAAGGAGCATGCTCATGAATACAAGCGTAGTAACTTGGTTGAGCTTGACGACATGTTGTGATCATCACGAATACAGGAGATTGGGAAGATAAAACGAGTCCTGGTAGACGAGCAATAAGAGAAACGAAAAGGGAGTAGGAGAAGGGGAGGGGGGCGTGGAGAGAGAGAGCGCGGAAGAGGCGCGAACGAGGAGGGTACCTACCTGCTTCAAGAGAGCGAGGAGCATGTCAGTGGTGACGTGGCGTTCATGCACCTCGTCCACTCTGCATGGTGGGGGCGATGGGGATGGATGGAGGGGACGATTAGGTTGGATGAGAAACACAAAAACGGGCATCAAGGTTAGGCATGTGGGGAAGGAGGGAGGCATGTGGGGTACGAGGCATGGGAGAGCAAAGCGTGGCCTAGAACCCTCAGAACGAGTGACTGACATGATGACAGAGTAGGCGGTGAGTAGAGGGTCCGACAGAAGCTCCCTCAGCAGCACTCCCTGTCACCCACCCACCGGCCCCATGCATGCATAAACACACATACACGCATATCATGCGTATCATACGTACACACACATACACGCATATCATGCGTATCATACGTACACACACATACACGCATATCATGCGTATCATACGTACACACACATACACGCATATCATGCGTATCATACGTACACACACATACACGCATATCATGCGTATCATACGTACACACACATACACGCATATCATGCGTATCATACGTACACACACATACACGCATATCATGCGTATCATACGTACACACACATACACGCATATCATGCGTATCATACGTACACACACATACACGCATATCATGCGTATCATACGTACACACACATACACGCATATCATGCGTATCATACGTACACACACATACACGCATATCATGCGTATCATACGTACACACACATACACGCATATCATGCGTATCATACGTACACACACATACACGCATATCATGCGTATCATACGTACACACACATACACGCATATCATGCGTATCATACGTACACACACATACACGCATATCATGCGTATCATACGTACACACACATACACGCATATCATGCGTATCATACGTACACACACATACACGCATATCATGCGTATCATACGTACACACACATACACGCATATCATGCGTATCATACGTACACACACATACACGCATATCATGCGTATCATACGTACACACACATACACGCATATCATGCGTATCATACGTACACACACATACACGCATATCATGCGTATCATACGTACACACACATACACGCATATCATGCGTATCATACGTACACACACATACACGCATATCATGCGTATCATACGTACACACACATACACGCATATCATGCGTATCATACGTACACACACATACACGCATATCATGCGTATCATACGTACACACACATACACGCATATCATGCGTATCATACGTACACACACATACACGCATATCATGCGTATCATACGTACACACACATACACGCATATCATGCGTATCATACGTACACACACATACACGCATATCATGCGTATCATACGTACACACACATACACGCATATCATGCGTATCATACGTACACACACATACACGCATATCATGCGTATCATACGTACACACACATACACGCATATCATGCGTATCATACGTACACACACATACACGCATATCATGCGTATCATACGTACACACACATACACGCATATCATGCGTATCATACGTACACACACATACACGCATATCATGCGTATCATACGTACACACACATACACGCATATCATGCGTATCATACGTACACACACATACACGCATATCATGCGTATCATACGTACACACACATACACGCATATCATGCGTATCATACGTACACACACATACACGCATATCATGCGTATCATACGTACACACACATACACGCATATCATGCGTATCATACGTACACACACATACACGCATATCATGCGTATCATACGTACACACACATACACGCATATCATGCGTATCATACGTACACACACATACACGCATATCATGCGTATCATACGTACACACACATACACGCATATCATGCGTATCATACGTACACACACATACACGCATATCATGCGTATCATACGTACACACACATACACGCATATCATGCGTATCATACGTACACACACATACACGCATATCATGCGTATCATACGTACACACACATACACGCATATCATGCGTATCATACGTACACACACATACACGCATATCATGCGTATCATACGTACACACACATACACGCATATCATGCGTATCATACGTACACACACATACACGCATATCATGCGTATCATACGTACACACACATACACGCATATCATGCGTATCATACGTACACACACATACACGCATATCATGCGTATCATACGTACACACACATACACGCATATCATGCGTATCATACATACACACACGACAAAAGAGGCGAGGCAGAGACACAAAGTTGAATATGACTGGGAACATGCACAGCACATGGAGAGAGCACAGCAGGTGGCAAGTGCTCTGTCTGACGAGGTAAGTGCACTTGGCATGGTTAGACAGGAACGAAGTCGTTGCAAGGAGACAGGTGGGGGGGATACGGCTGATGCTCGACGGATAAAACAATACCACAAGGGCGCATGGAGAAGCGGGGAGAAAGAGGAAGCGACGGGTGGGTAACGGGTGGGAGGGGAAGGGGAAGGGGCGGGCGAGTGGGGAGACAGGTGGGGGAGATAAATACGCCTGATGCTCGACGATTGAAAACCATGACGCAAGCGCGCAAAGAGAAGGAGGGAGGCTGAACGGTAGACGGGAGGCGAAGCGGCAGGTGGGGAATGGGTGGGAGGGTAAAGGGGCGGGCTGGTGGGCGAGTGGGGAGGGGGAGGTGCAGGCGGGCGGCACCTCTGTGAGGAAGAGGATGCGCGAGGCTGCAGTAGCTGTGGACTGGAACCTGATGCGATAAGCCACTCCCGCACCGTACTCGTTTAGAGACTCAAACGCCACCCGCCTGTGAGACAGAGGGCATCGCAGGGAAGGAAGGGAAAGGGCGGAGGGGAAAAAGAAAGGGGCGGAGAGCAAGGGGGGAGATGAGAAGGGAGACGAACGGTAAGAAGTAAGGGAGTATAAGCATGTATGAAGGGAGGGGACGAGCGGAAGAAACTTAGTAAGGGAGATCAAAAGAGGAAAGGTGCAACTGTGGTCGCGCATTTAAGGCGAGCTAATTTGAATTTGGGATTGCTTCTGAGAATACTAAGAAACAGTCTTTTGCACTGATGGAGTAGTGTAGAGCCATTAGTGTGTCGAGGGAAGGCGGAAGGGGGGAAATGGCGGTGGGAGGGGCTGAACACAGGAAGCAGGGGGGAGAGAGGAGGTGGTGGAGGGCAGGAGCGGAGGGAGATGCCTGCAGAGGGAGACGGCGGAGATGCGGCGGGGCTGAGTGCACGCAATTCTTCTGTACCCCGCAGCCAGGAGAATCTGAGGCACCTGCGTGGACTGGTACCACAACGTGGGACCAGATCAGGGGGCGTGCAGAGATGAGAGGGAGGAAGAAACGGGTTGGAAGAGGTAGGCAGGCAGGACAATAGAATGTGCGTTCCACTCCTGCTACTACAACGCTCGGTATGCTGAGACCAGTGCATGTGCGTGCTTGTATGTCTGGCAGGGAGCAGCGAGCAGAGCAAATACCTTGCCGCACCCTGTGTTCCCAGCAATGACAGTGACTTGGGACGAAGACTGCAAGGCACCTCGCAAACCGTGTCATGGAAAACATGGCAGACGCAGACTGGCAGTTAGCAAAGCAAATACCTTGCCGCACCCCGTGTCTCCAGCGATGACAGTGACTTGCGATGCAGCCACAGCAGCCACTATCTCCTCCCTGTGCGCGTTCACCGGAAGCTTCGCCTGGTCCTCCCGCAGCTTCCTCAGCTTCGCTAGGGACCGCTTCTGACGTGGGTGAGTAGGAGTGGATGGATGGGGGAGAGGAAGGACAAGAAGAGGAAAGGAGGGGGGCTGGACTCGCTGACTCGCTTCACGGCATTACTCGTTCAACTTTTGACCACTTTCCACTCGTCTCTCCCCCCAGCTGCCCATTCCTCCAACGCACTTCACCTGCCCCTCCCCACAACACCCCCATCCTCCCCCCCCCTCCTCTTCCCCCTACAAACACACACCTGCAGGAAGTCTTCATACACGCGCAGCATCCGCCTGTACTCCGCCACGTGGCCCTCTGTGAGTGGACTGTCCCTGCCCAGCGCCCGCATCCTCCCCTCATGCTGAGTCAGCACGGCCACGTTCACACGGTACCGCCGGTCGTAGCTGGGAAGAGGAGGGGCAGAGAGGGGTGGAGAGGGATGGAGAGGGGCGAAAATGGGCAGAGGGGGCCGGGTCGGGGAAGATGATTTGGAATTCGACCCAAAAACGCAAACAGCAAGGCGCTGCTGACCGTTCAGCCTGAGAAAGCACGAAGGCCGGCGATGAAAAGGAGAGGCATATTCAGCTACTTGGTCACCCCACAGAATCCGTTCTCCATGCGAGAACGAAAAGCACTTAGCCCTTAGCACGCTACCTGACAGGCAAGCCCAGCGCTTGCGCTGCCTTTTCGCTGAACGTGCTTATTCCGCCACTCGCGCTCCCGCCGCCCGCATCCCCCGCCCCGCCGCTGATCCCCGCGCGCCTGAGCTGGCTGCGCGCATGCGCGTGCGCCTGGTGCTGCAGGAGCTTCGGAATGAACTCTGGCGGAGTGGGCACGGAAGATGCGCGTGCGAAGACAATGAGTCGTGGGGACTAATACAATCTTTATTGCTTCTAAAGTGGTTCAGGTTCCCGTAACAATGAGATCAGGACGCCACGCGAGTCGAATGACAGGAAATATCGGGAGTGAGCGTGCGACGATGCATGCGACGGCGCAGGCAACGATGCGCGCGACGATGCATGCGACGATGCGCGCGAATCTAAGGCTGAAAAAGAGCTTTGTCGAGGAAGGACGACGCGGGAAAACCACGGAGAAGAAGCGAATAAATTCAAGCCGGCGTGTGCGTCTCGGAACCCCTGGAACACGGGCAACTGTCTACAGCTGACGGCTCATCTCATCGCACCTTGCAACTCGTCGTACTCGGGGCTTCTGATCGGAAACGCATCCGACGGCTGGTGGAAGAGCGACGCTAAGACTGCCTTATTCGCCGCCCAGAAACCCACGCTCATGTAGCTATCGCCCATAATCGCTCAGGCAGATGTCGCCGATAATCGCAGCGTCGCCTACAGCGCAAAACTGGCTGCGAACCAGCAGTCGGCACGCGATCATGGATAAAGCGGTCCGGAGATGTGCACAATGGGAAGCAAACTAACTATGGCGGCGGCGGGCTTGTCAGTCAGCAAAAAAGGAAGCAGTGTGCAAGACACTGACAAAGTTACATCCCAGCCGAAGCCGTTACGGCGCGACCCGCATTATGCACTCGGCAGCACAAAATACACTTTTCCACATATACATATTCGAACTCTTTGATAATGTATTTTATCAACCATAATTACTGATTGTACCAAGCACAACCTAGACACTTTATTTGTTAGTTTCTATAGTTCAGGCCACATGAAGCGTGGAATCGAATGGCATAGTATCACACGCATGTCTTTCACCTCTACACCTAATTTCCTCCTATACCACTATCCTTGCGTTGCCTTGCTCCAATTCCAGCTATTGCCACATGCACATGAAATAGCACATCACACAGCATTGCGTACCACAGCAAACACACCTCACACGTCATCACATGACAAGCCATGCCATACAATCACATATCATGTCTAGCCACACAACATCACACCGCACCACACCACACCACAACACGCCATAACACACAGCACCAAACCACACCACGACACACCAAATTATACCGCACCACACTACGGAACAGCACAGCATATGCACGTCACCCAACAGCATGTACCACGTCATTGCCCTCCGCTTGCCCATTACCTCCTCATTTGCAATTGCTCGCTCTCACCAAAACTCTCAGCAGCACGCACTAAGCACCCACTCTCATCACTTACATATCATTCCAGTCACTTACTCCACCCGTACCACTAGCTCTCAGCACTCTCCCCACTCATACACACCACTACTACCACTCACTTTCACCACTCTTCCCACTCCTATCAGTCAGCTAATTCCCTCACCACTCACTCTCACCATTCTAACCACTCACTCTCTACTCTCACCACTCTTAAAACTCATTGTCACCGCTTCAAACACTCACTCTGACCAGTCTTGCCACTGACTAACAGCACCCACACCACTCTTTCTCACCATATCATCACTCACTCTCCATGTTCCCATCGATCTCATCACTCACTCTGATTTCCCCACCGCCCACCCTCACCATTCTCACGAAATACTTAGATACTCCCAGCAGTCAATCTTACCACTCACTCAATATACAGTACCCTCACTAATCCCACCACACAATCTCACCAGTACCGCCATACATTCCCACCCCTCCCACCACTCACTGTAGTACCACTCACCCTTACCACTATCACCACTCTCACCATTGGCTATTACTACTCTCACAACACACATCACATTCTCATCATTCGCTTTCGACCCGCACCCCACTGTTACCACTCTCAACACCCACTCTCACCATTCGCAGCACTCCCACCACCCAGACATACCACACTGTATCACACCACACTGTATCATACCATACCACCCAGTATCATAGCATACCGCATCATACATCACTGCCTCATACCACACTGTATCATACCACACTGTATCATACCATACCGCATCATACCATACTGTAACGTACCGCACTGTATCATACCACATTACATCATACAATACCGCATCATACCACACTTTATCATCCCACACTCTATCATAGCACTCTGTATCATACCCACACTGTATTATACCACACTTTATCATCCCACACTGTATTATACAATACTGTATATACCACACTCTATCATACCATACCGTATCATACAATACTGTATCATACCACACTGTATCATCCCACACTGTATCATACCATACTGTATCATACCACACTGTATCATACCACACTGTATCATACCACACTGTATCATACCACACTGTAACATACCACACACAATCATACCACACTGCAGCATACCAGATTACATCACATCACACCATACCACCCCCCACCACCCACCACCACCCCTTGGCAGCCCACCTTGCCCTTCCCCAACATTACATGGCAGCAGTAGGAGCAGCAGACAGCCCAATTCCTTTCGGAGACAGCACGTCCAAAGGCTGTGCCTTGCAGGGCGAGATGTGGTAGCAAAAAATTGCTTCCAGCCCAAGACTCAAATCCCACCCCTGACGTGGCCAGAGCTGACGCGAACCCGAGCCGCCGGCCGGTCGGCTCTGACGGTGTCCATTAGGCCTTGAACGCCAGATCGGTTACTTGAGCACCGAGTGCCGTGCCGCAGAGATTCCACCTACCTCACCCCGACCCACAAGCCACAACCCCAGAGGTGCTGCCCCTAAGGCAGTGAGCTGCCCACTTGCTCCCATGCTCCCCACCCACCCCCATCCCTTCACCCCATGCCTCTTTACCTGTACCTACCATAGCCGTTCAGAGCGCCATGATGCCAAGGCTGCTGGAAATTGGGAGGAGGGAGAGAGGAGGGGAGGAGATTAGAGAAGGAATGCCTCTGTTTCGCCCTTGTTCCAGTGCTCCCTCCCTCCTTCAGGCTGCTAGAAGGGGAGGGGGGGGAGAAAGAGAGAGGAGGGAATCAGACAACACACCTGTTACCATACCTCACCTGAGACCATACCTCACTCACGACTCGACCTAACCTAGTCTGCCCCCTAGCCCCCCACCCCCCACTGCTTCTGCTGCTCCAACTGCAGCTGCCGGTCTGCTTCTCAGCTTCCTCTGCTACAGTCTTCACTCCATGCCAAGTGACCTGGTGGGGGGGGAAGAAAGGGGGAAGTGAAAGTAATTGAGTTGGCATGACCAGGACAAAAAAAAACTGAAATTGACAAAACAAGAAGGCAGCATTGAAGAGCAGAAAGGTAATGGGATGAGGGAAAGAGGGGAGGTGACGTACCTTGAGAGGCCAAGCCCACCCCGATACTCTCCCTTGTGGCAGCGATTGGCAGCGCTGCCTTTCTCCCATCCCCACGGGTACCTGCACGGCCACAGGGGAGGGGCATGGGAAGTGCCGGTGTTGACCCCTGCCCCTCCCCTCCACCTGCAAGGCACACACCCAGAGCATGTTAGTATACTGTCTTGGCAGCAGCAGGGTTGACAAGTGCGAGTCACACAGGCAGTGCTAGAGAGGGGAGGGGCCACTGGGGAGACACAGCCACAAGCCACAGACCTGAAGGGGAACCTGCACCTGAGGGGAACCTGCACCTGAGGGGAACCTGCACCTGAAGGGAACCTGCACCTGAGGGGGCATCTATACCCGTGGCATGTGAGTGGACCCAGGCAGTGAATCTCTCTTTAAGAGGAAGGGCATGAATGCACGTGCAACCATGGAAACATACAAGCGATGTTGTGGCCGGCAAGGGTGAGGGCAGGAGGAAGGAACACTTAGCTTGTGGCGTGAGAGGTGAAGGCGTGAGAGCGGATGGTGTGAGGGCGAGCACAAGGCAGCTGAAGCACCACTGGGTGACTACCCTCCACGGCAGCCCTCATCCCAGCCTTCCCACTCTGCTGCTCGGCTGTCGTTGTGTTGCTGTCTTGCCTTGCCTGGTAGAGGGCAGAGAAGGGGGGGAGGGACAGGAGAAGAGCAGCAGGAGGAACTGGTGAGCTGGCGTAAAGAGAAGCGGGCTTGTAAACAGCAAGACACTCAAGCAGACAGAAATGGGAATGAGAGAACGGAGGGGAGCTGCAGAGCGAATGAAGTGGAGGGAGAGAGAGGCGGGAGGCCAAGGAGGGAGGTGACGTACCTTGAGAGGCCAGCCCACCCCATACTCTCCCTGGTCACGCCAATTCCAGTGTGCTGCTGCGCTGCCTCCTGCTCGCATCCCCACAGGCACCTGCACGGCCACAAGGGGAGGGGAGTGGGGGAGTGACGGTGTAGACCCGCATGCCCCTCCCCTCCACCAGCAAGGAGAGACACAAAGAGAAGTGAGACAAATGCTAGGGGTAGAAATGTAGAGGAGTGCATGGGTGGGGTGGGATGGCAGATGAGAGCAGCAGAGGAACCATTGGAGCAGCGCTAGGCATATGGTGCAGACCCAAGGTAGAGTGTCTAGGAACTTAAGCTTAGAAGCGATGCATTAGTAATGAGCTTGAAGCTCATTAAGTACATCCAAGATGGGTAGGGAATGGATGGGGAAGGGAATCGGGGGCAATCTCTAGGGATTGGGGGTAATCCCAAGGCAATCTCCAATTGGTGGGTTGGAGATTGCTTGGAGATTACATTTGGGTTTGGTTGGGATGTAGGTGTACACCCAACCAAACACAATGTGCGAACTACACTACTCTAGGATATAGAAAATACAAAGTACAAAGTGTGAGATTGAAGGCTAACACTAACACCCCCCCATAGGCATCAATCGAACTCAGGGCAGAGAGGGTGGAGCACAGAGCCCCATGGCGCCAAGGAGACGGTGGTGGGGAACTTTCCCAAGGGGCTTGGTGAACAGATCAGCCAGGTTGCAGTCAGATGCAACGTACTCCACTTTCAACAGCTCCTGCTGGACAAGGTCACGGATGAAGAAGTGCCGGAGTTCAATATGCTTGGTGCGGGTGTGATAGACAGGGTCTTGAGAGATGTGGATGGTACTCTGGTTGTCACACCAGAGGGTGGAGGCGGACTGTGGGAAATCAAGCTCTTGGAGTAGAAAGGTGAGCCAACGGGCCTCCTGAGCAGCCATGGTGCCTGTGTAGAGCTCTGCCTCACATGAGGAGAGGGAGACTGCAGACGACCTGGTGGAGCGCCAACTGACAACTCCGCTTCCAAGGGTGAAGCAGTACCCTTGAGAGGAGCATCGGTCGGTCTGGTCCTCGGCCCAGGAGGAGTCGGTGTAACCTTCCAGGCGAGGAGGGGAGAGCCCACCGAGTATGAGAACGTGAGACTTAGTGCCTTGAAGATAACGCACCACCCGCTTCGCAGCCTTCCAGTGAAGATTAGTGAAGCGTCCAGGGGCTGCGTAGCGAGAGAGGACACTGACGGGATAGGCCAAGTCCGGTCGGGTGCACATCATGGCGTACATGAGGGACCCAACAAGCTCTGGATATGGCTTAGAGCAAGCCTCTGGTGTGTGTACAGCTGGAGCTGTGAGGAGGTGTTGCAGCGGGAGCGGGGTGGCAACAGGTGTGCACAACTCCATCTCAAACCGTTTGAGCACATTGTTGATGTAGAACTCCTGGGAGAGTGAAATGGTGCGAGCCTGGCGATCACGAGTGATCTCCATCCCCAGGTAGTGCTTGAGGTCACCGAGGTCTTTCATCTGGAGGGCCTTGCTCAGGGCTGCCTGGACAGAGGTCATCTGGGCCGAGTCCTTGGCAACGAGGATGAAGTCATCCACGTAGACCAGGATGTAGAATGGCTCAGAGTGACGGCGGATGAAGAGAGTCGGGTCAGCAGATGAAGGGTGGAAGTCCAGGGAGAGGAGGACTTCTTTCACCTTGTTGTGCCATTCGCGAGGGGCTTGCTTAAGGCCGTAGACGGGGCGATTCAGCTTCCAGACAGTGTTGGGAGGGAATTCTCCTGGGAAGCCTTCAGGTCTGTCCATGAACACTGTCTCCTTGAGACGTCCTTGTAGGAAGGCGGATGAGTCATCCATGGATTTGATCTCAAAGTCTTCTCAAACTGCAATATCCATGAGCGTACGAATGGTGGGAGGTTTGGATGTGGGGGAGAAGGTTAGGAAGAAGTCGCAGTACTGCTGCTGGGTGAAGCCCTTGGCTACGTAACGCGCTTTGAACACGGGGGCCTCGTCTGGGAGCTGTTTTACACAGAACAGCCACTTGCCCCCGACGATGTTGACTCCTGGAGGTGGAGTCTCGTCGTCGAAGGAGTGGTTGCGGGTGAATGCTTCAATCTCCGCTTCCATGGCAGCACGCCATTCGGCAGCATGAGGGCCTGAGAGAGCCACTTGGACAGTGAGAGGGATAGGGATGGTCGGGTTTTCCGTGAAGTTGAGTGAGGGTGATTCAGTGATGTCAGGGAAGATGTGCGAGAGCTGGGGAATGACTGCGTGAAGATCATAAAAGCTCCTCATGCCTATCTTCCAGAAGGGTAGAGGGCACATCCCCCCCGGCAGGAGGAGGCGAAGTGATCGTGGAGCAACGAATAGCCAGGGCCAGAGGAGGGGCAGGGCCGTGCGAGCGAGTGCCATGGGCTACCGGAGAGGAGGGCGGAGCAGGCGATGTCTGAGGGATTGGCTTAGGAGGCTTGGGCGGGGGAATTGGTCGCTGCTTGTACGTAATCAGTTCGGGCGGTTGCGGAGGAGCGGGTGCCTGGGAGGAAGAGGGGACTAGGGGAGGAGGTGGGGCCGGAGGGTGCGACTGCCGATGGTATGTGATTGGTGCGCTCGGAGGTGGCGGCGCAGATGGCAGGGCGGCAGGTGAGGGGGAGGGAGGAGCAGCTGCCGAAGACACCGGTGAGGGCGGGTCAGAGACCTCAGAGGGGGACGGTGCGGTGGCAGGAGGGGTAGGAGGTGAAGGGGCCGGAGCAGGCGGGAGGTCAGGAGGCGCATCAAAGTCTGCCCACACGAGGGAGGGTGGATCAGAGAGAGGGTCCCATCCCGAAATGGAGTAGAATGGGCGGGTCTCATCAAAGACAACGTCGCGGCTCCGGACCAGTTGTTGAGTGGAGGGGTTGAGGAAGAGGTAGTCAGGCGAGTCGGCGTTGTGCCTGAGGTAGATGCACGTCTAGGTCTTGGGACCGAGCTTGCCGCCGTGCTGCCTTCGAGCCTGAGGGTTGAGGAGGACATAGGCGGTGCACCCCCAAACGCGAAGAGAGCGAGCAGTGGGCATCTTCCCGAGCCAGAGTGTGGTTGGAGTGGTGTCGGGAAGATGCGGGTGGGGGTAAAGGTTGTAGAGGAGGGCGGCGTGGTAGAGAGCGTACCCCCAAAGAGAGTGCGGAGCGTTGGAATGGCCGAGGAGGCACCGAGTGATCTGCACCAAGGTGTGGTTGCGGCTCTGAGCTATGTCGTTCTGCTGCGGGCTGTCAGGGAGAGTGAAGTTTTGCTGGATGCCTTCTGAGGAGCAGAAGGCTTTGAGCTTGTCGTTGCAAAACTCACCACCACCATCCGAGTGAAGGCGCTTGACTTTGCGGTCAAAGGTGGTCTGTGCCTGTTTAACCCACGCCATGAGGACCTCTGGAACCGCAGCCTTAGTGTGGAGGAGGTGAACAGAGACGTAGCGAGAGTGATCATCGACGACAACAAGGAAGCAGCGATAACCACCTCGTGCTGGAACAGGGGGAGGGCCCCAGACGTCCAGGTATACCAAGTCCAGTGGTGCTGCTGCGACAGAGGGTGAGGTTGGGTGGGGCTGTTGACGCAGTTTGCTCTTGGTGCAGTCAAGGCACGTGGGAGCGGGGGAGTCTGGTGCTAGAGGAAGTGAGGCTGGCAGGCCGAGTAAAAGTTTCTTGGAGGCCATGTCAGCAAGTGTGCGGACGTTTGGGTGCCCGAGCCGATGGTGATAGAGTATGGTCGGGTTGGAAAAACTGCGGCACGAGCATGGTGAGGTAGTTGCCTCTGCTTGGATGTTTGACACCTGTGGGATGGGTACTTGCAGCATAAAAGGCCGCTGCCGTTGAGGGTGAAACGAGTCAAGACCTTGTTGGTGAGTGGATCGAAGATATCACCATAGTTCTCGTTCTCCCAGAAGATGGTGCGTAGCCCAGCTTCCTGAATTTCCCTTTGGGCCACGAGATTGTGGCGGACTGAAGGCACGCACATTCCAGTGACAGTGCCGGAAGGGAAGGCGGGGCATGGGACTGTGGATGAACCCTTGGCAAGAGTGGTGAAGCTTGAGTCAGCTCCTAGGAGAGGGATGGGTGTTGCGTAGGGTTTGAAGGAGAGTGTCTCATTGAGCACAGTGTGAGTGGCGCTGCTGTCGAGTGTGAACTCTATGTATTGTGGTGCTTGTGATGAGCCCAGGTACTGGGCGGAAGCTTCATTAATCATGGCAGTGCCATGGAACAATATGTTGATACGCACATCAGCAGGAGCACTATCACTAGCACTAGCCGAAGCGGGGTCCTGGACCTCAACCAGCTTGGCCTTACGTGCACGCAACCAGTTCGGTGGCTTCTTGTCTATGCCGTGGATGGTGTACCATTCGTCGTCCTTCTTCTTGAAGCACGTAGCAAGGGGGTGGTTAGTGCCACCACACACTTGTCCCTTGCGGTTGCCATACTTGACGACGTAGGTGCATGGGGGGGAAGCGGTTGCGCTGGAAGGGCGCCGAGGCAATGGCAGCTGCGACACTCGCTTGAGGCATGGGAGCACGGATGGCATAGGCCTTGGCTTGAGCCGTGGAGTCTTTCTCTGCAGAGAGGAGTGCGGTGGAAACCTTGGCAAAAGTGAGGTCTTCCGCAGTCAGCGTGAGGAGCATCTTCCTTGTGATTTCGTAGGCAGAGGTGAGGCCAACAAGAAGAGCTGCTGCAGAGGCCTGTTCGGGGAAGACTATACCCAACTCCTTGAATTTGCCATGAATGGTCTGAACCTTGGCAATATAGTCGGCCATTCCCGAGCAATCCTCAAGGCGGACCTGGAACATGTTGGGGATGAGGATGGCAACTCGGACCGCAGTCTTGTTCATGAACCGATCCTGATGATACTTCCAGATGGCGTTGGAGGTAGGGTAGTTGTGGAACGTGTTGACAAGTTATGGAGGGGTGGAGGCGATGAAGACGCTGATAATAGCAGCATCAATCTTCTCCCACTTCTGGTACTTCTCAACGGCTTCCTCATATGCCCTTGTGTCAGCCTCACTAGCGGATTCGGTCGGCTCACGAGGGAGAAGGGGTTGTTTTTCCTTGCCACGGTTGAGGAAAACATCCTTGAGGTCCAGACCCTGCACATCACGGCTCAGCAGGTGCTTGTCAACCCCATAGCTCCATGCCTTGAAGTTTGAGACGGAGTGGGGTGATGGGGATGGCCATGGTGGACGCGGTGAAGGCCATGGTGGAGATCCTTTGGTGTCTCGCGCGAAGCGCCGCTCTAGGATGTCTTGAAGTCACCTTGAAGTTTGAGACGGAGTGGGGTGATGGGGATGGCCATGGTGGATGCGGTGAAGGCCATGGTGGAGATCCTTTGATGCCTTGAAGTCACCGATAGGAACTTCGAAATCCGACGAAACCGAATAGCGAAAATCATAAATGTCGGCCGCGTCGGGATGCCTCGTAGAAGGATTTTCTAGGCCGCCAAAATTAGGTAAAGTTGGCCGACTACCGTAGATCTAACCCTAATCCCACACAACCCCCCACACACCACCCTCAGCTTCGCGGCTACGCTGCTGCACGGCTTCGTGGCTACTCTGCTGCTCGGCTGCGCTGCTGCACTACTGCTCGGCTGCGCTGCTGCACCTGTTAAGCTGCGGGACAAAAAGGGAATGGGGTAGAAGTGCAGATGCGGGGCGATGGGCGGCGGCCCGACGAGAAGTTGCGGGGCGACGGGCGGCGGCCCGACGAGAAGCTGCGGGGCGACGGGCGGCGGCCCGACGAGAAGAGGTGACGCGGTGACGAAATTGAGGGATGGCGAAGAAGGAATGGTAGGTTAGAGTGACGTCGATAAGCATACCATAGAAATTGAAGACGTCGTCGAAGTTGACGGGAAAGTGTTGCGGGGGGATTTCCGCCCACGAATGTTGCGAATCGACGGCGACGAGGTTGAAGGAGGCTATGCCGAGGTTTGCGGGAAGAACATCCACATAGATAGGAGGATCACGATCCGCATGTGCGGATGACGAGCTCTGATACCATCTAGGAACTTAAGCTTAGAAGCGATGCATTAGTAATGAGCTTGAAGCTCTTTAAGTTCGACCAAGATGGGTAGGGAATGGATGGGGAAGGGAATCGGGGGCAATCCCTAGGGATTGGGGGTAATCCCAAGGCAATCTCCAATTGTTGGGTTGGAGATTGCTTGGAGATTACATTTGGGTTTGGTTGGGATGTAGGTGTACACCTAACCAAACACAATGTGCAAACTACACTACTCTAGGATATAGAAAATACAAAGTACAAAGTGTGAGATTGAAGGCTAACACTAACAGAGTGGGCTTGAGAAAAAAATTCAGGCTTCGGGTAGGCATTACCTGGGGGCCGGAAGAGGGGGGATACCTGGAATAGGGGGTCTGCACAATGTGGGCAAGGCTGCTGCAAGTGGCTTGGTTTGGATGAAGCATGGATGGAGAGATGATATGTGCATGCATGTGCGAGTGCATGTGTGAGAGAGAAAAAGCATTGACAAGGGGAGAGCAGAGAGCAGCCTTATCTGGTGCGGCTGTGGGTGGTGGTGGTAGCTGAAGGCGTGAGGGCGAGCACTTGGCAGGTGCAGCAGCAGCAGGTGAGTCCCTTCCAACACGAGGAAGGTGCAAAAGCGCTCCTTCCAGCCTCCCTCCCTGCACGGCCACAAGGGAGGAGTGTGGGGAAGCGTCGGTGTTGACCCCTGCCCCTCCCCTCCACCTGCAAGGCACGCACGCAGACTGGTCAGTGGGTAGCGAGGGGATGATTGGTGAAAGTGCAAGAGAGGGAATGGCATTTGCAAGGCGGGAGAGGGGAGGGGCCACTGGTGGAGGCCAAGTCACAAACTGCAGACCCAAGGGCTGCACCTGAGGGGGTACCTGCACACCTGCACCTGAGGGGGTACCTGCACCTGAGAGGGTTACCTGAAGTAAGGGGGTCTGCAGCATGTGAGGCGGGCCCAACCAGTGGCGCTGTTTCAAGAGGAAGGTGCGAAAGCGCATGCAAACACGAGATGCCAGCAAAGTACACAAGACATGGCGAGGCAGGCAAGGGGTTGAGGGAACTTAGCTGGCAGATGGAGAACGTTTGAGGGAGCTGTTGCCTCGTCCCTGCTCCCCTCCCTTTTCCTCCAGTGTGCGTCTCCTATTGAATGCCAAGTGACCTGCTAGGAGCAGCAGACAGGGGGGGAAGTAACAGTAGCTGAGTTGGCAGGACCACGAAAAACAACAACAGCTGCAGCTAAAAGAAATGAGAAGGCGAAATTGAGGAGCAGAAAGGGAGAGCGATGAGGGCAAGAGGGGAGGTGACGTACCTTGAGAGGCCAAGCCCACCCCGATACTCTCCCTTGGTGCAGCGATTGGCAGTGCTGCCTCCCTCCCATCCCCACGGGGTACCTGCACGGCCACAGGGGAGGGGCGTGGGGAAGCATCGGTGTTGACCCCCGCCCCTCCCCTCCACCTGCAAGGCACACACACAGAGCTGGTCAGTGGGCAGCGAGGGAATGATTGGTGAAAGTGCAAGAGAGGAACGGAATTTGCAAGGCGGGAGAGGGGAGGGGACACTGGTGGAGGCCAAGTCACAAACTGCAGACCCAAGGGCTGCACCTGAGGGGGTACCTGCACACCCTCACCTGAGGGGATACCTGCACTTGAGAGGGTTACCTGAAGTAAGGGGGTCTGCAGCATGTGAGGCGGGCCCAACCAGTGGCACTGTTTCAAGAGGAAGGTGCGAAAGCGCATGCAAACACGAGATGCCAGCAAAGTACACAAGACATGGCGAGGCAGGCAAGGGGTTGAGGGAACTTAGCTGTAAGGCGTGAGAGCGAGAAGAGGGCAGCTGCAGCAGAACCAGGTGACTCCTTCCCCTGTAGCCCCCTCCCCGCCTTCCCGTGTGCGTCCCTCCCTGCACGGCCACCGGGGAGAGGCGTGAGGGAATGGCGGTGCTGACCCCACACCCCTCCCCCCCACCTGCAAGGCACACACGCAGAGCTGGTGGGTAGACATCGAGGGGACGAAGGGTGAAAGTGCAAGAGCTGAGCATGCAAGGCAAATGAGAGGGAGGGGCCACTGGTTGAGGCACAAGCACAAGGCACAGACCCCCAAGGGGACCTGAGGGGCTGTAAAATTGCAAGGGGGAATGAACCTGAACCTGAACCTACCTGGAATAAGAAAAGGAAGGTCTGTGGCTTGCAAGTCATGCCCCAACCAGCGGCGAGATTTGACAGAATGGAAAGAAAGAAAAGAAGCAGATCCCAAATCAACCGAAATCACTTGAGAGGCAAGCTTCAAGGAGGCGAATGCCTTAGCTGAAACTTGGAGCAGTGGTGGTGCAGGCGGAGGGGGTGCCTTGATGCAGAGTGGGCGCGGCGAGGGGGATTTGAAAGAATGGACCTGCGAGGCAGAGGAGACGGGGGGGGGAGAGAAAGTTAGTCTGTGGCAAGCGGGAGGGAGCGGCCGTTGCAAGTGAGAAGAGCGCCTGGCAGCAGTGCGAGTGCAGAAATGACGGTGCATGTGATGCCGCCCACAGCCCCACAAGAGCCCCTACCAACCTGCACCTGCACGTGAACCTGCACCTGAACCTGAACCTGCACCTGAACGTGAACCTGAACCTGAACCTGAACCTGAACCGGGGGGGAGTGGGGCTCTTGTGGAGTGTGGTGGCGGGCGATATTGCAACCTCGACCGTTGATGAGGCTGGCACCGCTGCCCCGCTGCCCGCCCTTGACGCCCCCCTCGCCTCCCCTCGCCTGCTGCACTCCCCTCGCTTGCTGCCCGCCTTGCGCTGGCCTGGCAGGAAGAGCGATGAGGGCGGGTAGGAAGGGGAGGGAGGAGAAGGAGTGGGGGGCGTGGAGGAATGAGCTGCAGTCAGGAACATGAGGTGGGTGGGTGTGACGAGTGAGAGTCGAAATTGGTAATGCGGGTGATGCGTGTGTGATGTGATGTGGGTGCGGCGTGATGTGATGTGGATAAAAAAGGTTATAACTTAGTGGTGTTGAAGTAGAAGGCCTAATCAGATGTCAGAATTAACAAGAGTGAAGTGCATTAGGAAAGGGGTGGGTACAAGTAGGAAAACCTAAAACTATTGTACCCCATAGGAACTACCCCACTACAGCCTAAACAGACTATAGCATATAAGTTTGACACACCCCCATAGGCAAAGTGGGGGAGAGCAAGGGGTCACAAGACCAGTCAAGAAAAGCAAAGCAAGCCCAGGGTGAATCACAACGTCACCACGCATTCTGAGCACAAGTAGGTGGCCACAAGGCTAGTTCACAAGCAGAGTTATATAACATAGAACAAACAGGATAGTGATCAAAACCTAGCAAGTGAAAGCATGCAGGTATAGATATATAGATCACTACAAGCAAAGTCAAGAAGTGAGCAAGTGAGGCAAGGTAGGCACAAGGCCTAGAATAGTATAGAAACGTTGATGATCACAAGGCGGCAGTGCCTTGGTGAAGATATCAGCAGTGTTGGCCCGAGAGGCCACGTAAGCAAGACGAAGCTGACCACGCTGCTGCAACTCTCGAGGAAGAAAGTAGCGAAGAGCAATGTGCTTCATTCTGTGCTCCAGTCTGTGCTCTTAACACAAGGCCAGCATGGCCTTGTTGTCGACGTAAAGAACTGGAGGAGAACGAGGCGCCTCTCCCAAGTCGGTCAGCAGGTAGGTGAGCCAGCGTAACTCCTGTGCAGCCATGGCCCCTGCGTAGATCTCAGCCTCACCACTGGAGCTGAGAACAGGAGACGAGTGGGTAGACCGCCACGAAACAGAACCGCAGCCAAGGCTGAAGGTGTAACCCTGTGACGACCGCTGCGTAGCCAAGTCGTCAACCCAAGAAACGTCTGCGTGACCAGTGAGGACAAATCGAGCCCGTCCTCCAAGCACGAGCCCCATGCCTGACGTACTACACAAGTAGCGCATCACCCTCTTAGCAGCCTTCTAGTGCTCTGGTCGGTGTCTCCCGGGCGCAACATAGCGTGCCAGGATGCTAAGAGGGTAAGCAAGGTCAGGTCGAGTGCAGGTCATCAGGTATATGAAGCAGCCCACAAGCTCTGGATACGGGCCACTCGGCTCTACGGACTCATCCAAAGGCAGAGCTGAGAGCGAGTGACCTCTAGGCAGAGGAGTGGGCTGTGGCGAGGAGTACTGGAAGTCGAAGCGCTGAAGGACCTGTTGCACCATGTTTGACTGAGTCAAGGTAATGGTGTGCCGTGCTCTGTCCCGGGTGATCTGCAAGCCAAGATAGCTGCGCAGCTCACCCAGGTCTGTGCACGTGTGTCTCTTCTGCAGCTCCGACTTCACGTGGGCCTGTCCACCAGTGTCATCAGTGGCAAAGACCAAGTCGTCGACGTACACGAGGGTGTAGAACGGCAGCAGCGAAGTGTCGGTGCGTAGAAACAGCGACGGGTCAGCAGTAGAAGGAGCAAAGCCAAGAGCCGCAAGAGTCGTCCTCAGTGTGTCGTGCCACTCACGAGGCGCCTGGCGAAGACCGTAGACTGGCCGCCGGAGGCTCCACTGGGTACCAGGAGGAAACGACCCAGTGAAGCCAGGTGGGCGACGCAGCCAGATCTTCTCGTGCAGGCTGCCCTGTAGGAAAGCAGTGCTGAAGTCAAGAGAGTGAAGCTAGTAGTCACGCTAAGCAGCGATGTGCAGCAGAACCCGAAGAGTGGTCATCTTTGGGGTCGGGGAGAAGGTCCGAAAGAAGTCAACTCCCTGTCGCTGACTGAAGCCTCGAGCAACGTAACGCGCCTTGAAGACAGGCGGAGAACCCGACGGCAACTTCACCCTGAAAATCCACATGTCGCTAACGATGTTCGCCCCAGGAGGGGAAACCTCGTCAACGTAGGTGCCTGTGGACTTCTAGGATGCCATCTCTGCGTCCATGGCTGACTGCCACTGAGAGGAGTAGGGACCCTCTATCGCCTCCGCGTAAGAGCGCGGGGTCGGGATGTCTGGTGCATCCGGGTCTCCCTTAGGTGCAATCAGCATGGACACGAGATGAGGTACAGCGGTTGCAAAGCACTCAAAGTCTCCTGCATGTCCTCTAGGACGTCCGTGCCAAGAGCACACTCACCCCCGACGGACGGAGGACAGACAGACTCAGACTCAGCAACAAGACTCGCAGCGTAGTCTAGACGACAATGAGCAGCAAAGTCGACCAACTCAGCAACTAAGGCAGACGCAGCAGTGGACTCAAAGGTGTTGAGATAGAGGCGAGGAATGTGTGCACTATGAAATGAAACAAGTACAAGTACCAACCCTAATTGGGTTGTACCCCCTATGGGCTACCCCACTACAGCCTAAATATATGCATCAGTAATATAATCATCTGACACACCCCCATAGGCAAAGTGGGGGAGAGCAAGGGGTCACAAGACCAGTCAAGCAAAGCAAAGCAAAGCAAAGCAAGCTCAAGGTGGATCTCAAGGATACCACACAAATTCCGAGCACAAGGTCAAGGCCACAAGGCCAGTTCACATGGAGCAGAGCATATATATATATAACAGTGCTAAACAAGCAAGAGCAAGAATATATATATGCAGCAGTACAAGCAAGGTCAAGAGGTAAGCAAGTGAGGCCCAGTGGGCACAAGGCCTAGCAGAGTGCAAAAGCGCTGATGGTCACGAGGCGGAAGTGCCTTGGTGAACACATCAGCAGTGTTGGCCTCAGTGGCCACGAAACGCAGGCGAAGCTGACCACGCTGCTGCAGCTCTCGAGCAAGAAAGTAGCGCAGAGCAATGTGCTTCGTCCTGTGCTCCAGTCTGTGCTCCTCACATAAGGCAATGGTTGCCTTGTTGTCGACGTACAGCACTGGAGGAGAACGAGGCCGCTCTCCAAGGTCAGTCAGCAGGTAGGTGAGCCAGCGAAGCTCCTGGGCAGCCATGGCCGTGGCGTAGATCTCAGCCTCACAGCTGGAGCTGAGAACCGAAGAAGAGCGAGTAGAGCGCCAAGAGACAGAGCCAGAGCCAAGACTGAAGGTGTAACCCTGAGACGACCTCTGAGTAGCCTGGTCGTCAGCCTAAGAAGCATCTGAGTGCCCAGTGAGCACAGGCCGCTCACGCCCTCCAAGCACTAGCCCCATGCCCGACGTACTGCACAAGTAGCGCAACACCCTCTTAGCTGCATCCATGTGCTCCTTCCGGTGACGGCCGGGAGCAACATAGCGTGCTAAGATGCTGAGAGGGTATGCGAGGTCAGGTCGAGTGCAAGTCATCAGGTACATGAGGCAGCCCACAAGCTCTGGATACGGACCACTCGACTCTACGGACTCATCCAAAGGCAGAGCTGAGAGCGAGTGTCCCGTAGGCAGAGGAGTGGACTGAGGCGAGGAGTATGTGAAGCCGAAGCGCTGAAGGACCTGCTGCACCATGTGTGACTGAGTCAGGGTAATGGTGCGGCGTGCTCTGTCCCGGGTGATCCGCAAGCCAAGATAGCTTGTCAGTTCACCCAGGTCTGTGCACGTGTGTCTCTTCTGCAGCTCGGACTTCACGTGGGCGAGTGCGGCAGTGTCCGCAGTGGCAAAGACCAAGTCGTCGACGTACACGAGGATGTAGAACGGCGGCAGCGAGGTGTCAGTGCGCAGAAACAGCGACGGGTCAGCAGTAGAAGGAGCAAACCCAAGAGCCGCAAGTGTAGTCCTCAGTGTGTCGTGCCACTCACGCGGCGCCTGGCGGAGACCGTAGACTGGCCGCCGGAGGCTCCACTGGGTACCAGGAGGGAACGACCCAGTGAAGCCAGGAGGGCGGCGCAGCCAGATCTCCTCGTGCAGGCGGCCCTGCACGAAAGCAGTGCTGAAGTCAAGAGAGTGTAGCTCGTAGTCACGCTGAGCAGCGACGTGCAGTAGAACCCGAAGAGTGGTCATCTTCGGGGTCGGGGAGAAGGTCTGAAAGAAGTCAACTCCCTGTCGCTGACTGAAGCCACGAGCCACGTAGCGCGCCTTGAAGACAGGCGGAGAACCCGGCGGCCGCTTCACCCTGAATGTCCACATGCCACTGACAATGTTCGCCCCAGGAGGGGGAACAGCGTCAACGTAGGTGCCTGTGGACTTCCAGGAAGCCATCTCTGCGTCCATGGCTGACTGCCACTGAGAGGAGTAGGGACCGGCCATCGCCTCTGCGTAAGAGCATGGGGTCGGGATGTCTAGAGCATCCGGGTCTCCCTCAAGGGCAACAAGCATGGACACGAGATGGGGCAAAGCGGCGGCAAAGCACTAGAACTCCTCCTGCCTGTCCTCAAGGACGTCCGTGCCAAGAGCACAGTCACCCCCGACGGACGGAGGACAGGCAGACGCAGACGCAGCAGACGCAGACTCAGCAAACTCAGCAGACTCAGCAACAAGACTGGCAGTGTAGTCCAGACGACACGCAGCAGCAAAGTCGACTAGCTCAGCAACTAGGGCAGACGCAGCAGCGGACTCAAAGGAAGGGTCAGTGACAAGAGTAGCAAGGAGACGCATGACAGTAGGACTGGCAGCACGGTGAGAGTCCGACTCAGGGTCGGCAAGTGTAGG